AATATATGCAGCCACAGATTGTCTGCGCTCTGTCAGAAGCTGCAAGCAAGATCCACATAAGCTTTGATGGTTGGACGACAAAGGGTGGCAAGCGTGGATTCTTTGGAGTCGTTGCACACTTTGCTAACGCCTCTGGAGTGATACAAGATCTCCCCATCGCCCTCCCACATCTCGCAGGCTCTCATACTGGTGATGCTATCGCTGATACAATTAAAAAGACGCTCCAAGAATACAGTATTGGGAGTGATAAACTCGGCTACTTCGTCCTCGACAATGCTGCAAACAACGATACTGCAGTCTCCTCGCTCGCCCACGCGTACGCACAGTCCGCAACAATCAATTAAGTGGGTCCTAGAAGGTTCAGATTGGATTGATTGATTACCGCTTTAAGCCTAGTAGTTACCTATAGGAGTTTAAGCCCTACCTAGATAGGTAAGTGGGTCTAGGAGAGTGACCGGATTGAATTGATTGTTGCGGAGTCTACGCGTACGACTTCAACGCTGCTCACCGACGCCTCCGCTGCGGCCCTCACACGCTTAACCTTATTGGCCAGGCAATTATCTTTGGCAGCAATCAAGAGGCGTACAACAACAACAACGACGAGCAGCTCCAAACAGAGGAGGTGTACATGCAGGAGTGGCGTCAAGAAGGGCCCTTAGGTGTACTTATCGACGTTATCAACCATATAAAAACGCCTCAACAACACGAAATTTTCCGAAGCTTCCAAACCGCCGCCAACGCCGAGTTGCCAGCTAGAGAGCGCCTCCACGTACTTGAGCCTGTGAAGCCTGTTGTTACACGCTGGAACTCTTACTACGCTGCCTTCAAACGCGCAACTCAACTCCAGGCAGCATACAACTCTTACGCTGAGCACTACATTAACGCACTCTCCCTTGAAGATCGCCGCGCTTGTCAACGTGGCAATAAACTCCCTGAAGCACCTAGTTGGATGAGATCAACAGGACTTACAGCTGCTGATTGGGCGGTGATAACAGAGTATCAGGACTGCCTAGAGCCGCTTAAGCTTGCTACGGAGAAGCTTGAGGGTCGCGGAAAGGCAGGCAAATACGGCGCTATATATGAGACTATTCCTGTATTTGAATACGTACTTGGCGCGCTCGAAGCCCGTACGCGCTCGTACGAGCAAGTTGACTTCAACCCACCTGATGCGCCTGAAGATCACCTCTTTGTTAACCTCCGCGCCGCCTGGAGTAAGGCCAACGATTACTACAACAAGCTCGATCGATCGCCAGCATACTACGCTGCTACCTGCCTCCATCCATACTACAAATACTACTGCGAGAACAGCTGGGTGGATAAGCCAGAATGGCTAACATCAGCCAACGCTGGCTTCCTGCAGCTCTGGCAGTCGTATAAGCCTCAACGTACACGTCCTCTATCTCAAACAACTGCAAAACCAAGGCATAGAGGAATAGATGATGTGATTGGCGCCCTCGTACGGCGCAACAAGGCTCAGGTAGAGGCTGCCCACGACGATGAGTACGAGCGCTGGAGAACTCAAGAGCCAGAGTGGACAAGCGAACAGTATCTTAGCGATGGCCACCCAGTCAAGTACTGGATTCAATTACGCTCAAAATACCCGTGTTTAAGCCAGTTTGCGATTGATATACTCACGATACCAGCATCTAGTTGCGACTGCGAGAGGCTCTTTAGCGAGCTTGGCGATTTACTTGAGCCGCGCCGGCGAGCTCTTGGCAGCGAGTTACTTGCTGCCCTTCAGCTTGTACGTTCGTGGAGACGAGCTGGCTTTGACGGCTTGTACAACAACGGTGATGATGAAGATAAGTGGAGTGACGTCAAAGATGAGGAGATTGTACAACAGTACGATATAGAAGGCTGGAGTACAACACCATAACCCCCTGTATACTACTTCTTAGCATCAATCAGCCAATCAACCAATCAATCGCAATCAATCTGCTCAAAAACCCTAACAATCAATCCGCAATCAATCAGCAGCGTCGCCGCAAGCTAATCAAACCAATCGACAACCTTAAGATTGATTGATTTGATTGTTGCGGAGTCTGACGTAGAGTGGGATTGGAGCGAGATACAGAAAGAGTTGTCAATTATGAGCAGGGGCGCCATGAGATGTTTGTATGCTTTTGTGAATAGGAATAATGATGATGGGCGAGTAAGTTCGGATGACGCCACAAGCTACGCATGGATGATTGTCCGACTGTTGTGAGATTATATCACGTGACATGATGATCGTCGTCATTGAATGCAAGTTCACTGGACCGGCGTAAAGAACCGAATCAGTATGACTTGGCGCCAACAGCAACTCTCCCGAGTGCTCTTCAGTGTTACATCCACCGAAAATCTCTTCTTATGCAGGTGTTTCCGCCGAAGCTGATATGGAGGTGGCTTTCAAAAGTTCTTGCTAGCGCGGATTGTATCGGCCCGACACCCTTTGTCCAAGCTGGACTGTTTCTTGGCACAAATCAGAGATTTCATGAAGCTGCGCAAATAGTAGTATACGCGTTTTCTTGGTGTTTTAGTTCTATACCGATGGCTCCTAATACAGATCTCTCTATATGCGCCTTGATTGTCACTTTAAAGTCCCCTTTTAGTGGCAAATCAACGAGTCACATCAGCGATATCACCGGCATTCCTCCACGCACGATTAATGCTATCTATGCTAGAGCCTGCTAGCGAGGCTTTGAGCTAAATGCGCCAACGATAAAACTCCTCCCTAAGTACCTTAAAGAGGCTCCACGTACAGGCCGTCTACGTATGCAAGAGGCTATACAAGAGGCTGCTATTAAGAGAGTCCGCCGTGATAGATATGGAAGAGAGAAGAGCTGTGCTGATATAGCTGGTGATCTTAGTCTTCACGGTCACAACGTTTCATCTACAACAGTGTGGAGAGTCCTCAAAGTAGCAGGGTACAACAAGACCAAGCCAACGAGGAAGCCTAGGTTGACGAAGAAGATAAGACAGGAGAGACTTAACTGGTGTCTTGCTCATAAGGACTGGACACTTGAGAATTAGAAGGATTTCATCTAGTCAGATAAGACCTCAGTCCTTCTTAATCACCGCCGTGGTAGCTATCGCGTGTGGAGGAAAACAGATAAGGCCTTTATTAAATCTGTTATCCGAGAGAGGTGGAAAGGCTACTCAGAGTTTATGTTTTGGGGCTGCTTTTTATATAACTATAAAGGCCCCTTGCACGTCTAGAGGCCTGAGACTGCTAAGGAGAAGAAAGAAGCAGCTCTTAAGATTAAGGAGATGAATAAGATTCTAGAGCCTATTATAAAAGAAGAGTAGGAGCTCTTAACAGGCATGAAGAGACTAGGCTTAAGAAATAAGCCTAGGAGAGAACCTTAATAGAGATGGACAAAAGATACTAGAAAGCTTACTCGTGGTAACGACAAAGGAGGTATTAATTAGTGGCGTTATCAAAATCAAGTTCTTATCCCAAAACTTCTGCCCTTTGCAAAGGAGTGTTTAAAAGAGAGACTAGGTAGTGTTGTACAAGAAGATAAGGCCCCCTCTCATGCCCACTATATTCAACGTCTTGTATATCAACGAGAAGGCGTAGAGAAGCTTATTTGGTGTGGCAACTCCCCTAATCTTAACGCTATTAAGCAAGCATGGCCATGGTTAAAGAGAAGAACAACTAAGAAAGGAGCTCCTAAGAATAGAGCAGAGGCAACAAAAGTATGGGAGAATGCGTGGACAGCTCTACCACAGCAACAAATACAAGCTTGGATAGAGAGGATACCTATACACGTTCAAAAGATTATTGAACTTGATGGTGGCAATGAGTATAAGGAAGGCAGAGGTCTGCCAAGAGAGCGTTGAGACAGCCCTGTCTATATTTTGGTAGTACTTCGGTAGTAATCAAGACACCCCTGTCGGCAAGAACTTTTGAAAGCCACCTCCGTATATAGGTATCAGGTGAATGATTGCATCCTTCAAACTGAAGTTGCATCGACGATAGGCTTCCACTTGACCTCCGTACTATCAGATAGAGAACTAGATTCGAAGATCTTAGTTTCTCAATCGAAGTGATTAAACAAGGCTGTGTGCGGGGCTTCGAAGAGGCAGCAGTAGCTTTATGCATTTACATTTTGAGTCATGGAGTATGCCGCATACAAGACCGGTGGATGAATTTCGAGGATTCAGTCTATATTAGGCCAAAGTCTTACTTGCAACCCCTCCGATGCGCGGCTTTAAGGCGTGGTTGGGCGTTGGCACACTTTGTTTGCCGATGGAAATATTTCGTAAGCCCCAGATTACTGCATGATATGCCTGGTTATGAAACTTTCGGGAGTGAGAAGATAGATATCCCACAAGCCTACTATTGGAAACATGAGCAATGATTGAATCGTCTTTTTCGCGTCTTCGCACTCCTGTTTCGGAGGGTCGGCAACTGGAGTACCCAGACAATCACATACTGTCACGGCCTATTCGCGTTCCCTGCGCTCACTGGTTGCGGCGCATGTACTCCACTCACCTGGCTTGTAAATGTTCCCCCGAAGGAACATAAACAGGTATTTGGGTACAGTGGGTTGCGCTTTTTGTTAGATGCGCGCTTCTTCATTGCAGTTCCGATCTCGGTAACACCGTCGGCGAAAGTGTCTTACTGGCGTTTGAAAGGCACAGCATGATCTTAGGCTAGAGAATAGATCAATCCATTTTGGTGAGTTTGAAGAGCTGCCAGTAGATTATATGCAGTATTGTGGACGACGCTACACTGTGGCCGATGAAGCCATGCGATGTTCGGGTCCGATCACCACGCTATTGGAGAATCGATGTAGTCGGTCGCAATTCTAACTATGCACTATGCGTCGCTTGTATAAGAAACTCCAATATCGTAAGTTGCGAAGCTTCATAAGTGCTTAGTTCCTGTACATACCTTATGATAGATCTGATCAGGAGCTAGAAGAGGCGTTGCATAGTGATTTCCGTCAAAAGCATAACTCAAACGGGCTGCGTCTTAATTGATAGAGACTCGATAGTAGTACCGTGCGTCTTCACCCGTCTTGGATTTGAATCACCCCATAGATGTGCGGCGATTTCTGTCTTTTGTGTTCTTCCAGCCAATCCAACGTTGTTTCCCAATCAGCGTCCAAATCCTCTTCATCGAGAGAGAGATCATAAGACTCATGATCAGGCATTTCCTTGTCGCTTTTGAGACATATTCTCATCAACGACCGCTCAGGGATACTTGTGCGCTTCTCAGCATGCTCCTGAAATACTCGGAAGAAATCTTCCGCGGGCGCGTTCAGATCTATCCACATGTTTATCACAGTTTTTTCCCACACGAGACTTAGTCGAATCTTAGTTGTGCTTGCATTGGGGTCATCATGTCGGACTGAAGGAGCAGAGGTAGCATTGGTCCGGAGAGGGAGAGAATGTTCCGTGTTCGATGGATGCGAGCGTCGGACTGTAGGAGCAGGGGAGTTTCTTTGGTTCTGACGAACTTCCTGTTCTACGCCACGTAGTTGCTGCTGGCTCATGAAGGCCTCTATCATACTGTTTGGCTGCAACTGCTCCCCCTGGTCGCGCCTCGGTAACGAACGGGCTGATCCGTCACCTGTCATTGCGGAACGGTGGTAAGATGGCGCGGGTGGTGCCGACCCTTGAAGACCAGCGTCAAAGATCCTATTTTGCTGGACATGCGGTTGTGCAACAACGGTATTTTGATAATCTGACCGGAGTACACATCGTATCAGCGACAAGGTCTAATCGTCATTCCAGCTGAAGCGTGCACACACACCTTGAATTTCCTCACCAGAGTCTTCGAATCCAAGAAGCATATCTGGTCCGAGTCGGTCTTTGGGTACCACATAGAACATGGTGCTGTGCGTCGCTTCAGAATCAGGTCGGCGCCATGTCAGCTCAATGCACCATTCGACAGATACCAACTGTAGATTACCAGTCATGCGACAAGGTACATAGATCTCTTGCTCTTCAGCCGGACTCAGACTGTAAGCGACGTTCAGCTTTCGCTTTACGACGACGTCGTCACGAATCACGCTGTACTTGATCGGGGCGGTCTTCATGCGAATCGGCGTATCTCCCTTACTTGCTCCACCAAAGACAGGAACTACTATATACTCTCCCGACCCGCTTTCATCTCTGGTTGAATGCGATGTTACGGACGATGCTGTTCTCGCAGGGCTGAGGGGATACGTCGGAGCGTTTGAAGATAGGTGGCGTGGCAGCGTTTGGCGTTGAAGAGGAGACGCAATATGATCCGGACTATGCACAGAGGTTGACGCAGATTGTGCAATGTCGAATCTATTGGAAGGAGGGGAAGCCTCGTATTGTCTGCGTCTAGACTGTAAAAGACAGGATGTGATTTCCTGGCGAACTCTCTCATCCTCACAGCACCTGACAAGTATATCGTGGGCTTTATCCGGTCGATCTGACAGTAGCTGCTTGACCAGTGCATGTGCGCCTAAGATGTCCATGGTACACAGCGTTGTGGTCGAACTGCATGTGGGTCCGAGGCTGAATGGCGTCACACGAACGAGCTCCGGTAGCCGCGGGGAACAGCGCTAGCCAAGGCGCATTCCATCAGTGTTACTCATAACGGCCACGGCGTGAGGAGGTCGTGAGGGGATGATGCATGGAGCGCAGGCGCATGGCACTAGAATTGGCGACAAGGCAGAAGATGATGGGGGCGCAGACCGGACGCTTGGATGGGGAGGAACCAACGTGTGCTCGTCGATGCATGGAGAACCGAGCCTAATCTCTCGCTTCTTGCTACGCTTTACCCTTTTAGGCTGACCGGCGCATATCCTCCAGTTCCTGGCGATGTCATACAGCAAACCTGGGGCACCCACATGCAGTGTGCAACCCGCATCTTCAGTTCATACCCCGCCCGGCTACATGCTTACTCCCAATCACAACTCCACAGCCCCCTTTCATCATAAGTACAGCGCAATTCAAGTATGGGCGATAACAGCAGCCGATGTTTCTCGGAGCCCTTGGACTTCCAACAATGACCTCAATATCCACTTCCAGTTGCTCTTCCAATGGAAAACATGTCACACAGATAACCACTTCCGTCAGTCGAAATATCTCAAGTGGCAATGCGGTTCAAATCAACGGTCCAGTGGCAGACAAGATTTATAATCTCAACTTGTAAGTTGAAACCCCACTTCGATCGACTGGAAAGGTCCCTGACATGCACAAGTAAGAACCTGGTTATCCGATGCCAGTGCAGCTCGGCTTCCAAGACCATTCTATCTGCAAACGAATCAGCGTTACGAAGTAAATGCGCATGCACGATACTGAGCAGACCCAAAGTAGTGAAGGCCTCGACCTCGGCAAGTGTGTCTGCAGAATATGGGATAGAAATACCGGTGAGTCATTCTTCAAGCGATTCGCTCCACGAAGATGTTCTGATAGCGACCAGCAAAGCGCGCTAGATGGCTCATATCCAGGCCAGAACTTGAGTATCTACTCTAGATCGAGTGGGCAGTGTCGAATAGTTCGCGCGTTGTTTGCGGCCAGTGTGTCTGAGAACTTTGTCTCACACAGAATCGTCAAACGCCTAAAGCTCGAAGCTCATAACGACCCTTCGGTTGCGATAGAAGCTACATGGGGTCTAACCCGCATCCCGCCCACGAGCGAGTATGTCAGCCTAACTTGCCGCCTTCAAGAAGGCAACGACTGCGTCACGCACCGCTTCTACGTGGTCAAGCTTTACTCGTTTGATCTCCTTATTAGCGCAGGCGCAATCAAACACAGCTGAACAAGCAAGGAAGCAGGATCTACAGCAAGATTTCGACCAATGCGCAATCAACTGCAATACACACCGCTGGTTGGATGCACAATCAACCTCAAGTCTTGTGATCCTCAAGCTACGCTCGTTGGACGGATTTTCGACTTCATTGGGCGCCATCATCCGTATGGACGTGGGATTTACTCCAGCTGCGTCTATGGCTGCAGGTGGCTTCCAGATAGCGAATCGGTAATTGAAGTTGTTCATGCATGCTGCGAACCTGTGACCGGACGACCCGAAAATACGGGCACTGCATACTTAATAGACTACGCACTCTTCAAAAGTCGCCAGTTAAACTTCGTAGGAGATAAGTACGAACTTACCTATCTGCATTGCCTGTATATCTTGTGTCACTTCCTGCTCCTTGACAGCAGTATCGGAACGCGTACGCTCAACACCATGGTATCTCTCCAGCTTCCGGGTATAAGATGAAGCTAATGTGTCGAACAGGCAGATGCTCTCGTCTTTATCTCCGTAGTCCAGGCTACTACCCAGCTTATCGAACAAGCTTTCCGAATCTTCGCCCGTCTTCGCAAGGCGCATAACCGTCAGAAAGCTCTTGTCGATGTTCTCAATCGCCACAAAAATGAAATTGAGAGCGTCAAGTTGATAATTGGCATCTTAGATGATGAGGAAGAACTGCAGCAACTCGCTACCGTTCTTGCCGAGTTGGTTCGAATGCAGGCAGTCCAAAACAAGCTGGCAGATTTGCTCGGGACTCTGGATCCAAAGATGAGGAGCCCGGTCAATCAGTTTACACGCCAGCTGGTGCATGGTTCAGCTGACGAGAAGAAGCTGGGTAGTATCATGGATGAAATGAGCCATATTAAATCATCGTTGTTACTATGTATCCAGGTCTCCAACGTTGGTGTGACGCGCTCCATCGAAAAGGAGATCGTGGCGAATGCGGAAGTCATCCAACGAATTGATCAGAATCTCCGAGAACATATCCAGAACTGCGAGGGCTTACGGATTGCCAGATTGTTAAAAGGTCGACGTCCATCAAGTGAGTGTTCAGTCAATCACATTTTATTGACCCACCGCTAACGACCGTAGACGATGGCACTGTACCTTTGACTCTCGCCGACCTAGCCTCCCTCAACGACGATGAAAACAGTGAAAACAGTGGAGATGAAACCCTCATCGGCGATTCCGACACATGCTCACAAGAAATCCCTCTGAAGACTGAACGCATCGTTAGACGTAATGAGGTGCACAACAAGGCTCTCCAGGTCAATGCTGCATTGGGAGAGGATCTTTGGAAAGATGTCAATCGCCTGGTCATCGAGGACAACAAGGCTGACAGCCAGGGTATACAGATCAACTATGCCATGCCGCGAGACATGATGATGATGATGCTTGACCAACAGAGTAAGGCTATAGCTGTGTCAAGTTCGATATCAGGGGCTCCGCGTCATGATCGCATTATGGTGCAGGTTTAGGACATATGGGAGGCTTATGATTTCAATTCGATATATCTTCTCGCAATTCTTTTTCTCATGTCATGGAATCATCCACGAGGTATAAGGCAGTAGCCATACTCTTTGTATTACGCTTTTCTTCATGTACATGACCACGGCACTTTGTAAATAGTAAAAATGACGTGCTTTGCTTCATTGGGTCGGGGAGTTCATCTCTTTTCCGCCCGATCAAGATCAGACCCACCTGTAGATACCCACTGCCTAGCGTAACGCTTAGCCCTGCTTTTGGTCTTCACTTTTCCTCCTTGACTAGCTCAGCATTATAGCACAGGTTATCAGGCTCGCAACACTTTCAGCTTTGTTAGCATTAGACTGCGTCCTACCCCAGATCGCCATTAGTATTACGTGCTGCAGACTTCCACCGCCCTCTCCACTTTCTTAGCTCATGTGCAACCGGAAAATTACTTATCCTACCCCAGGCTATTTCGCTCCAAATTGGTTGGATTTACTCTCGTATGTGGCTCCGACATGTCTGCGCAAATCCACGTCATCCTCGGAGGAACTGATTCACTGCGACGGAACAGACTTGTCAATAATATGGGCAACCCCTCTTTGTCATTCAGGGTCCAGCTTTTTCATAACGATGACATCAGCTAAATTTGACCTCCAATATCCGTGTCCATCTTCCAGATACGTACTAAGTGAAGTACGGTTTCTATCTACTGCTAAGCTGACTCCAGGAAGCGCTGCAAAATTGACCAGCCCGCTCAACAGCTTCTTCTAAGCACTATACGCTTAGCCCGCGTATTCCTTGCTCTCGACTACATCGATCAGGATCTTCCCTGCCATCCCGCCTTTCTTGTGTCTGGCGAACGCGTCAGGCACCTGCTCGAACGAAAAGGTCGAATCAATGACTGGCTTCACTTTTCCTTCGCCCATCCACACTGCAATTTGCTTCATATCCTCGTGCGTATTTGTTGCAATTATGGACTTAGTCTTGGTTCTGGTACCCCCGAGGAAGTGTGGGAGCTGCGTACCGACGACTGTGTTGACGTAGGATGCTCCAGTGATGCCTCCCCCAACTTGGGCAAAGTGCCGCTTCTTCCCCGGCAGTATGAAATTGTCGCAACCCAGAAACAGATCAGTAGGCGAACCGCCAATTGCGTCCACAACGTGCGCAAAGATCTTGCCTCTCTGTCGCAGCGCCGTCATAACGTCCTCGTGCTTGTAGTCGATCACGTCTTCCGCGCCGAGATCTTTACAGAGTTGAGCCTTTTCTGCAGAACAGGTGACTGTAACACTGCAGCCCAATGCCCTAGCGATCTGGATGCCAAAGGTACCAACACCTCCTGACCCACCATTGATCAGAACCTTATCGCCGGGCTCGACAAACGGCGCAATGGCCTGGTATGCTGCGAGGGCGCAGGTGCCAACAGTACCTGCCAGGCGCGGATCGACGTTGGATGGAAGCACAGCCAGACCCTCAAAGGGTGCGACAATATATTCGGCGAGAGAGCCCTGCTTGAACGGATCCATCCGGCCGAAGACTGGGTCGCCTGGGTTCACGCCTGTGACCTTGCGCCCGACAGCGACTACATAGCCGCCAAAATCGTAGCCCGGCGACCTCGGATATGAGCCCATAATCTTGGAGATACCCCCAATCTCTATCGGGAACCAGTCACCCTTGTAGATGCTCGCTGAGACGACTTGGACGAGGACAGCGTGCTTGTCGAGATGGTCGGCAGAAGGGCGAGGGATGGTGACGAGCTCGAGGTTTGCGCTGACATTCCCTGGAACGGGAATGCGCCAGGCTCTGCAGTTGCTCATTTTCGAAGTTACAAAAAGATGGATTTGGAGGCGGAGAGAATGGGGGCTTTGCTGCGGTCCGCTGACTTGCGGTACACTTTGCAAGATGAAGATGGTAGGGCCCTAAGTAGGAGGGATGTTGTTCTATTTATCCAGCTTCTTTCCGGCATGTGGAAGCGTTGTATATAAAGATTGCTAACTCGATCACCTTCTAGAGCCAGGGTTCCTGTATCAGCCTCTCTTCCAAGATGGCCCAAGAACAAGATCGACAGGCTCTCAGCTGGACAAGCTCCCATGCTGCCACCTTTCCTTCTGCTGCGCCTGCTCTTTCCCGACACTTGTTCCCTCGTACAAGGCGGAAATTATATTCACGATAGACGAAGCGGAGACAATGCGCAGACGGGCTGAGTACCCGACGTCCACTTTGACCAAATTGCGCCGGCTTTGCGCCGAATCGACTAGTCCCTAGATGTATATTTTGTCGTCCACAAAGCGATCTTACACTCTTCAGCCACTATTTAGGGTCTGTGCTCTGGTAGTAGCGGATGTTACAGTCCAGTGTGGATACGTGCCGTGGCACGTGTATGGCCTAGATGCAGAGACTAATACCACCCCACTTATCTATCGAGACGACGATGCTGTTCAGTTATGGTAAGTTTCTCCTATGGTTGAATAGAGTAAGATAACCGTGGCTGTTGTGGAATTGACATTTTGCCCGCAACTACCGCTAGTGATGGAAGAAGTGTGGGCGACGCTGCAGTGCAAATTGGAAGTGGTACCGTTTAAGGGGGCTGTGGCTTGTGGCGTCTCCCGAGGCCACTACTTCCCGCCTAAGTTGCCTTAATCCTTCTCAACTCTAGCAACAGGGTAGTACTGTGTTCTTGAAATGACACCCATCCTAAAGACGTTACGCGCTGTTTAAGGCAACAACTGTGAAACAAACCGTTTCCACATCCCTCTCAGCTCTCAACACTCTGCACAACCAACGGCTTAACCCCCACCCTCTCCGCCTCCGCGTTCAGTGCATCCACCTCCGCCTGCACCAGCGGTATTCCCCCCTTCTCCCTGTTCCTCTGCGTGACCTGCTCAATCTCGCCCGGGAAATAAATCCTCTCCACGCCATCTGCCTTCTCTGCGCCCACGACCCTCTCATACAGCACCTGCATCCTCTCCCTAAACTCATCCAAACTCATGAACAAATCCGGCTTCACCGCAATCAAAAAATGCCCCACATCCGACGGCCGACTAGGATCATAAGGACCGGTGACATCGCCTGCAAACGCAGAGCCTGACAGTACACCACTAAACACATCCATCATCACGGCTAACCCCGAACCTTTCGGTCCTCCCATGGGTAACATGACACCGCCATCCAGCGCCTTCGCAGGATCATCCGTGCTCTTCCCCTCTTTATCCAGCGCCCAGTCCTTTGGAATCTTCTCCCCTCGTCTAAGCGCCTTGTAAATCTTGCCTCTGGCTGCTATACTAGGTGCCATATCGAGTATAAAATCATTACCGTCTTTACCAGGTGCACCGCATGCCAAGGGGGAAACGCCTAGGAGTTTCTCTCGGCCTCCCCAGGCTGGGAGTGCAGGCGATGAGTTCGTGTACACGATACTCATCATGTTTGCGTCGAGGGCTTTTTGCACAATCCAGGCGCTCATGCCGAAGTGGTTGCTGTGCTTGATGCTGGCCATGCCGATGCCGTAGGTTCTTGCTGACTCAATACATGCGGTCATTCCTGCGTCGGCGGCTACGAAACCGAAGCCGTTGTGTGCGTCGACTTGGGTTACCACGGGGGTGGGGTGCGTGAGCGTGGGAGTGGCGCTGGGGGAGAGGACGCCTTGCCGGATGCGGGTCATGTAAGAGGGGATGCGGTTCATGCCATGGGTGTCTACGCCGCGTAGGTCGGCGGCAACGAGGCATTGGGCGATGAGTTTGGCATTTTCGGGAGCAACGCCGTTGCCGGTTAGAATTGAGGTTACGAAGTTTGTTGCTTCTGAGGCGGAGACGTGGAGTTTGGGCGATGCTTCGGATGCCATGATTGGTGTTAAATTGGAATGTCAGTTAGAGACTGTTGGGTGTAGATGAACGATGTTGAATAGCTAAACCTCTCAGTACTAGATATGAGTACAATGAGTCATGATGCGATATGATTCTTAGTAAATTGGGGATTGTTGAGGTTGTGGTCGAGGCCTGTCTGAGTCATGTTAGACTTCCCCACTTCTCCGCATCGGCCACTGGACTATCAGAGAAAATAAAGATATTTCCGTAAAGAAGAAAATGGTATATCGTGAACGCCTTGTTTGTATCCCAAACGCCGTCCAATCATCCAACCCGTTGATTCACTCCTTCTCTGCATTATTTCTCCATCTACCGCCTGGCTTTGACGTTGAATGCGCTTTCCTCAGCAGCCTTGAATGAATCAAATGCAAACAAGCTGATGAAGTATAGCGCCGCAAATCTCACCAGCACATCAGTCAACCCGCCGTTACCCATCAGCATCCGTTGTATACCGGCGAACGGGCTCTCGCCTACTGGGCGGCTGGGTTCGGCGGCTGAACCAAGGGTGCGCCCTTTGGTCTGGAAGACAGTAGAAGAGGCGCCGGGACCAGAAGTGTCACTGGCGGCTTTGCGCACGGCGGCTGTGAGGGCTGCGGGGTTGGCGCCACGAATTGTGTCGACAACGGAACCGGATTTGAGTACGAGGAAGGTCGGCATACTGTATAAATGCGGTGTTAGCTAAGATTTCTATGCGCAAAGTTTTCTGGAAGACGCTATGCCTCAGAAGCTGGGTATACGTACGCTGTGACGCCATACTTCTTCGCAACCTCTTGCTGACTGTCCACGTCTACCTTGACGAACTGCATCTTGCCCGGCTTCGTCTCCTTCTCTGCCAGGCTCTGAAATACAGGCGCGATGGCTTTACATGGTCCACACCAGTCTGCGTAGAAGTCGACAATCGTGTATTTGGACTGCGACAGAAGTTGGGAGAAGTGCGAGGACGAGGTTACGGGGATGATTTTGCCTGGCATCGTGGCGAAATGGCGGGCTATAGAGGCGTCGAAAGTAGGGGTTTTTAGAGACCCGGTCGTCGTTGGGTAGATCAAAGGGATCACTGCGAGTAGAGAGTTTGGCGTAGGTGTTGCGGGGAGGACAGCTTGCTGCTTGCGACAAGGATACGCCACTTGAAGCTCTTGTGGGGCCGTGCGTACGGAAATCCACCGATTTGCCAGCTTTCACCACACTAGGAAGCTTGACACAAAAAACACGTCTAGACAACTAGGAAAACAACGAACAGCCATGGAAGGTCAGTGCATATTCCCCTCTAGAACATTCATGCATTAGATCATAGCAGCTACATATGTGCTTTATTGTACCCATTCGCTCCCTCGCAGTCATTTCCATGTCCATCTCCCCATGATATCTCCTACCTTCCTCCAGCTTCATGCATCATTCCTGTATGCTCGGCGATTGCAGTCTAGGATAGACCAATAGGCTCTTTGAGGGGCATTGCTCGGCTCCTTGACTTCTTTGGCACATACTCAGCCTCAGCCTCAGACTCGCTACTGTTTTCTACCTTGACGGCTCGCTTCTTGGTTCGCGTTTTCTTCGCTACGGGTTTCGGCTCCGGCTCGTTGCTCCCATTGACCTCGTTGACGCCACGCTTCTTGGCCTGTGACTTCTTCTCCAGAGGCTTGGGCTCAGGCTGGCTGTTTGACTCAACATCATCCACGTCACGCTTCTTCACCCGTGAGTTCTTCGGCTTCGCTTCGACTGCCAAAATGGGTGCATCCTCCATCTCAACATCCTCGTCTTTGACCTTGACGTCAGGATCATCGATGCGACCTTTAGCTGCCTCTTTCGCCTTGGTCGTCTTAGTCCGGGCCTTCTTGGATTTTACGGGAATTTCGTTCTTGCTCTCCGGTGGCTCAACTACCTTCCCTGTCTCGAGCGTCTCCATCACTACATTCTGTAACTCTTGGGAGATTGAATCCAGGCCGTCCAGTGCGTCGTCATCAGCGAGTCCCATAAGACCGTGCAAGTCAATGTCGGAGATGCACTTCTTTTAGATTGTCAGTGTGAGGGTATACAACAGAGCAGGCCACTTACCCAATGCTTGTAGACCATTATTGAGTGTTCTCCGTCAAAAGGGACGAGAATGCCGAGCCTCAGCTCATTCCGCAGGATTTTGATACCCTTGGCCAGACAGTCGCCGCCGCGACAAGCAGCCGCACGGACAGCGACGTCGACCTTGTAGCCTGTTGCATTCGTGTATTCCTTGGCATACTTCTGCGCGTTTCCTGCTAGATCTTCGCGGACTCCCTTGAATTCTTTGTCTGCTGGTTTGCCTGACTCGAATGCAAGGCGTACCTGCTCCTGGCTCTCCTGGCTAAGGCGTTGGTAGTCCGGCGCTTTAGTAGGGTCGTTATCAGTCGTCTCCACTAGGCCCGCGATTTGTTGTTTCGTTGCACACGCCCTATTTATGTTAGCACAAGGCTAAAGAATTCCAGGAACACCGTCATCTCTATCCTAACGCATTTCCGTAGAACAGATTGACAATGGATTACTCACCAATGACGCCAAGCCATATACCACCTTCTCTCTACCCCATTGTCGAAAAGTGTATGTGTTCCGATGCGCAATTCTCCCTTCTTGATCAAGGTTTTTGCGCGCTTGCAGGCTGCCTGGTTACATATCGCAAGGGCATTGGGTGAATGTTCTAGTCATTGTAAGTAAGTAGTATGTGTAGGAACTGTTCAGCCAACACATACCTAGACGCCATTTGGGGCCTTCGTCGCCCATCTTGTTCAGATTTGGATGAGTAGAAACTGTATGCGCGAAGAGAAGGGTTGGTGGAGTGAGGTAGGGTGCGATGGGTGCACTTGCCCTGAGCAATCGCGTGAGGCTTGGCGACGAACGAGGAAGTCGCAAGGGGTACCCAATCGCAGCGGGGAACTTTCGATGCGGGAAGTGGAAACTCTGGGACAAAAGTTTCTTTCATAATTACTGAGTGATTAATTTCCATGGTTTGGGCTCTGGCATTGTCGCAAACCGGTCTTAGACTTTGTCTCTGGTTGTTTCTCTGTACATCCGAGCCAAAATTGTCGCACCCACGATCGCGGTTACTCTTCCTCACTTGCTGTTGGAGTTTTCGGTAGCTCCAGGCAATGTGTGATAAATGCCTATTTAGCAACAGCAACAGCGACTCGACTTACTAACTCAACACACATGCTACGGTGTTCCATGATAGTAGGTTCCGCTGTTACATCATGTTCTCTGTCTTACAATTTAGACTGACTGATATATGCAGAAATTCAACTTTACGACACCTAAAACGTACAGAACCTTGTGCATGTTTCTGTGGTGTATGAGTAAATACTATCTTCTAAACAACCACGCCATACAATGCCTTTATGATACTCTAAGCGAATTGCACGCATCTCTAAATTTTGGACTCATCACTTCCTGAATGACTGCTTGGATTGGCAGCACAACAGAAGCTTTTTACGTCTACCATCGATACACCAAACTCAACAAGATTGTAATTTGAGCTTACGAATCGCACAAGTGCGGCATCGCAACAACTAAGTTCCAGTCCCATATATGACCTTTACAAACAGAATTACGATATAGTCGAAGTGAAATGTGTCGGGAAGCCATCAGACACTGAAGACGCATTAGAGACATGGAAACCCAGTGTGAGTAATTTCACCTTTTCTTGTACGTTCAGTCCGTCCAAACACGAGTTAGCTAAACTAATTTACACCTGTCAGGCATCGTTCTTATACAATGCGGTGCTAGGTATATTGCTTCAATTGCCTTCTTGTATGTTAACATCAAGATATTGCTTTGTGAGAACTTGCTGCTTAGCAAGGGTATTTCCTACATACGTTCACAATGTCTCTGCCTCATGATCGACCTACTGCGACAATCCTAGTGAATCGTATGGACCGTGTGGCTTACTCCCAGCACCTTGAACTTCCCACGTAAGGTGTGTCCCTAAGTGCAGAGACACACTGTGTCACGAGACAAGTTCACATTACGGACGTCCGGAAATGCTTCCTCTTAAACTTGTCGAGATGTAAATGACACACAATTATTCTCCAGCCACTATTTCTTAAGTCAACTCATCTCCGATACACATCGCTATGGTGTCGGCTAGCCTATTAATCATTGCGTTAACGTCGTCAATCGACTCTTCAACGACACCCCCCTGTCTATTAACGACTATGAGGAGAAACCAACCACTCGGAGGGTCGTAAAGAGAGCACGAAGAAGGAAGATCGATTCCTTTGGCTTGTGATCTTATTTCAACGTAGGAGCGAGCATGCCGGGAGCCCCGTAGTGCGAAGTAGGAGATCTCTTGAACCAAGCCCGAGCTGGCGGGATACGCTAACGTCGCTTGACATGCATAAGCCTGCATTAGCGTTCTTGTCACCTGCTGTAACCTATTGTAAAGAATACGGCGCTATGCCAGTCGCGTATGCCTCTCAAAATAGATGCAGCGCATAAGCGTCTACGGCCGCGCGCGTACACAGCGGTTGTGCATGAGGCTGCTCTGTTCCCTGCTTGAGTTTTAGGTCGCGATTAGGTAGGCGAAGGCTGCGCGAACATGGTTTTTGTCGGCCGGGCAAGCCAGTCTCCATGCATTCACTTCTCACCAGCTAGCTCTCCTCTTATAGGACTAGCTCCTTCTGCTTAGGGGCTAGCCTCTTCTAGGCTTCACCCCGCACCTATATAGCTAGTCCTTCGCTGTTCTCAATACAACAACGATTTCGCCCACTCAGTTCCCCGATAGTTTTTAGCATGATCCGCATTAATAGCTTTTCCTTGGCCGGGTTAGAGCCGCTTGCTGGCATTAGCTATACGCGTCGCTCGAGATGTTCGGGGCCGGTGTTGAGGCAGTCGTCGCTGCGTTGCGTTCCGGCCCGCAATAGGATAGCGGCACAGTCCCTGTGGCCAGTGTGTCCTTGCGCGAACCAGCACGCGCTGCACATACATTCTAATATACTTCTACAGTACACGACGACCTGTGAAACGCGATCTCTGCGGCATTACATCACATGCCTAAGCAATTCTTGCTTCTAGGTTCCCAGCACGGTGGCTGTCGCGCGATCATGCGTTGTCAGCCTTGCCCCTGGCCAGCCTCACGTCACGGCACAGGCGGGCTGCGCCTCATGCCCTGGGCGTTAGACATGCAGCATGCCCCAACAACGAGAAGGCCAGTCTTCCTTGCCTCTACCTTAGCATTCGCAACAAACCCAACAGCTACAGTCTTCACGCCCTGCGCGAGCGAGCCGTTGTGCGCCGTCGATTCCGTTGGCCTGCTTCGAGGCTCCAAGACTTCCTTCTACCGCTCGCTTATACGGACACATACATAGCCCGATGCGGCTACTATATACTGCAAGCGATGAGAGGCTGATGTGGACTGATGACTTGATTGGGGACAAGACCCCCCCGTATGCGATCTTGTCGCACACCTGGAAAGAAGGGCAGGAGGTGACATTTACCGATCTGAAAGGCCTAGACAACGCAGCAGATGCCAACGCGCGGAACAAGGAAGGGTATCAGAAGCTTCGCTTTTGTGCGCAACAGGCTAAGCGCGACGGTTTGGAATACTTCTGGGTAGACACCTGCTGCATCGACAAGTCAAACAACACGGAACTGTCAAAAGCGATCAACTCTATGTTCCGATGGTACCAGAACGCCAAAAAGTGTTATGTCTTCCTTTCAGATGTCGGCAGTGACACTTTAGAAGGTGATGACGAGACGGCGTTCAAGCAGAGCAGGTGGTTTAAACGAGGCTGGACCCTCCAGGAACTTCTTGCTCCCCATTCTGTTGAGTTCTTCTCTAAAGAGGGAGTGCGGCTGGGGGACAAGGAGTCGCTCAAGCACACTATACACGAGGTTACCGGAATCTCCATGAAAGCTCTGTCAGGGAGCGACTTGTCCGAGTTTGACATTGCCAAGCGTTTCTCTTGGGCAGCGAATCGGCAGACGACAGAGGAAGAAGATGAAGCATATTGTCTGTTCGGCATATTCGGCGTTCACCTACCACTGATCTACGGCGAAGGCAAAGAGAGAGCGTTGAAACGATTGAAGAAAGAGATAGAGACTTCCGAGGATGCCTCTGTGAATAATACGAAGACTCGCAGCCGAAGCCAAGAGGAGAGAATCAGCAAGATCTGCAGCTGGCTTTCAGCGCCTGACCCATCCACAAACTACTACAAAGCGCACAAACAGCGCCAGGCTGAGACTGGGCTCTGGCTACTGGAAAGCGCAAATTTCATAGAATGGAAAGAGAGAGCACTGTCACGACTGTGGCTGTACGGGATCCCAGGATGTGGAAAGACTATCCTGAGCTCTACTATCATCGAGCATCTACTACAGTACTGCCATGGTAACATTAGCATGGTGACGACGTACTTCTACTTCGACTTCAATGACATACAGAAACAGGATCCGGAGTTGATGCTCCGCTCATTGCTCTGCCAGCTCGTGCAGCGTTCGATTACGATACCTAAAGGCGTTGACGCATTGTTCTCGTCCTGTGAGAACGGGCAACGATGGCCATCAGTGAATGCGCTTTTGGAAGTAACACAGCAGGCCGCGCGAGAATTTACGCAGGTTTACGTTGTTGTCGATGCTCTCGACGAATGCATACAGCGCTCGGAATTGATGGACATGCTTGAAACAATAGCTAGCTGGCGGCTTGATAATCTACATCTGCTTATGACCAGCCGAAAAGAGCGGGATATCGAGAAGTATTTGGAGGGCTACGTTAAGGAAGAGGACGCGGTGTGTCTTCAAAGGGACGTAGTGGACCAGGACATACAACGATACGTTCAACAAAGGCTGCGTGACGACAAGAGCTTGGCAAAATGGAATAGAGACGCTACTGTTAGGCAAGAGATCGAGGCGGCACTAATGTTTGGAGCCCGCGGAATGTACGTGTGTTTACTAAGATTCTCGCACAACTAATGCTAACGACAATTAAGGTTTCGATGGGCAGCATGTCAACTTGACACATTGGCAAAGTGTCGTAATCGAGCGATGCTGCGTAGTTCACTTGCCACTTTGCCGCAAACACTTGACCAGACATATGACCTTATTCTTGCCGCTATTAGCGAAGAGGATTGCAAGTACGCGATGCGCATCCTGCAATGGCTAACATTCTCTGCTCGACCCTTGTCCGCCGAAGAGATCGCCGAAATTGTCGCTATTGACACGGAGCGCGACCTAGCGTTCAACCGTGATGAGGTTCTAGAAGACCCACTAGAAGCACTTGATATCTGCTCTAGTCTTGTTACTGTTACGACAAACGAAGCGTTCGGAGGATTAAAGCCTACCCAACGGATCATTTCTCTAGCACATTACTCAGTTCAGGAGTATCTTGTCTCAGACAGGATTAAGCAAGGATTAGCAAAACAGTACAGCATGCAAGACGTCGAATGTCACAAAGCGATAACGAAAGGCTCTCTAAAGTACCTGACTCAATTCCATCAACTATCGCCAACAGACATTCAAGAGAGATCGGCGCTAGCAAGGTACACAGCTGAGTTCTGGAACAGCCATCTTCGAAAGACAGGAGACGACATGGAACGGATAAGTCACCTAGCGATGGACTTAATGAATATTGAAAAGCCTGCATTTCTCACCTGGATCCGGTTGTATGATCCGGACCGTCCTGGAGAGAGGCAAAACTTGGAGAGAAGTCTAGATAGTATACCCCCGCCGCTCTATTATGCAGCAGAGTTAGGCTTAAGGACGATTGCGAGATTACTACTTGATCAAGGTGTCGACGTCAACGCACAGGGCGGACGCTACGGTAATGCTCTACAGGCGGCTTCACGTAAAGGCCGCTGGCAGATAGTCGAGATGCTGCTCGACAAGGGCGCCGATGTTAACGCGCAGGGTGGAGAGTATAGCAACACACTATATGCAGCTTCGCGCATAGGCCACTGGAAAATAGTAAGAATGCTGCTTAACAAGGACGCCGACGTTAACGCGCAAGGTGGATACTTCGGTAACGCACTGCAAGCCGCTTTAGCTAGAGGCCACGAGCAGATAGTTGAGATGCTGCTCGACAAGGGTGCTGAGGTTAACGCACAGGGCGGACGCTACGGTAATGCTCTACAGGCGGCTTCACGTAAAGGCCGCCGGCAGATAGTCGAGATGCTGCTCGACAAGGGCGCCGATGTTAATGCGCAGGGTGGAGAGTACGGCAACGCACTGCAGGCAGCTTCAGCAGAAGGCCACGAGGCGATTGTGAAGCTGCTGCTCGATAAGGGCGCCGAGGTCAACGCGCAGGGTGGACACTACGGCAATGCACTGCAGGCAGCTTCAGCTAGAGGCTACGGGCAGGTAGTCAAGGCGCTGATCGACCGGGGCGCCGAGGTGAACGCGCAGGGTGCAATCTACGGCAATGCACTGCAGGCAGCTTCAGTTAGAGGCTACGGGCAGGTAGTCAAGGCGCTGATCGACCAGGGCGCCGAGGTCAACGCGCAGGGTGGAGTCTATGGCAGTGCACTGCAGGCAGCTTCAGCTAGAGGCTACGGGCAGGTAGTCAAGACACTGATCGACCAGGGCGCCGAGGTCAACGCGCAGGGTGGAGAGTACGGCAATGCACTGCAGGCAGCTTCAGCTGGAGGCTACGGGCAGGTAGTCAAGGCGCTGCTCGACAAGGGCGCCAACGTTAACGCGCAGGATAAAGACTTCGGCAACGCACTGCAGGCAGCTTCAGACGGAGGCCACGAGCAGATAGTCCAAATGCTGATCGACCAGGGCGCCGAGGTCAACGCGCAAGGTGGAGAGTACGGCAACGCACTGCAGGCAGCTTCAGACGGAGGCCACGAGCAGATAGTCCAAATGCTGCTCGACAAGGGCGCCGAGGTCAACGCGCAAGGTGGAGAGTACGGCAACGCACTGCAGGCAGCTTCAGCTAGAGGCCACGAGCAGGTAGTCAAGACACTGATCGACCAGGGCGCCGAGGTCAACGCGCAAGGTGGAGAGTACGGCAACGCACTGCAGGTAGCTTCAGACGGAGGCCACGAGCAGATAGTCCAAATGCTGCTCGACAAGGGCGCCGAGGTCAACGCGCAGGGTGGAGAGTACGGCAACGCACTGCAGGCAGCTTCAGCTAGAGGCCACGAGCAGGTAGTCAAGACACTGATCGACCAGGGCGCCGAGGTCAACGCGCAGGGTGGAGAGTACGGCAACGCACTGCAGGCAGCTTTAGCTGGAGGCTACGAACAGGTAGTCAAGGCGCTGCTTGATGCGGGTGCTCATCAACATCAGGAAGGCAACACTGTATCAGGGTCCGAATAGCATCGCTCAGGCCCTAAGCAGGTATTTTTAGGTGCGTAGTAAGCATCTGTCAGATATTCACTCTCATCTGGAATACTGATGAAATAGGTAATAATGGTGATGATATTGATGATTCATTGTGTGTTGGTTCTGTCTACGGTTGTGGGCACACCTGGGGGTGCCAAGCCTTCCTGTGATCCGATTGGCTCTCTCAGATGCCGGGTCGCGCTAGTCTAACCCAGCGTCTGTACGCTCTCATCTTGTCAGATAGCAGGCGTGTCGAGCCGAAAGTGCCGACACCGCTAGCTAATAACGGGTTAGCGTCTTAGCAGAACAAAACTCTCAGCGCGCACCTTAGAACGAAGAACAATCAATCATGAACATCCATCACTTTTGTGCAATATCTCATCTAATCTGACAATTAAGAGTCTCACTGCCTCTATAACGAGCAACGAACACGCAATAATGGCGACAAACCAGAGCCAGAGGGACGCAACAGTCATCCTCACCGACTCGAGCAAATGGATCCCCTGGTACCGCCAAATCAAGATGCAATGCGAAGCCCTAGAGATCTGGGACATTGTAGATCCAGCGGGCAACACTCAGCCTCGTACAAAGCCGACCGAACCTCTCCCTCCACTCGTATCCGACTATGAACCAGCCGCTGCTCTGAGAAATACATCATCAGCTCCATCCTCCTCTACACGAACCGCGAGAGCCAATGCCCGAGCGCCTACACAAGATACAGTTGACATAGTCAACCCTGCTGTTCAAACTCCAGCCATACCAGCTCGATACTCAGAACTCTCAGCGGAGGGGAAGGAGGCATACGATGGGGACTCAAGGGAATTCAAGATGGTTTTTGAATCATACAAAATACGCGAACGAAACTATCGAGACGAACGCACAAACATTGCGGCAATGATCAGACACCTGAATGCAACAGTTAGCCCACACCTTCAAGTGAGCTGCTTTGAGGAACATGGAACTCTCCGCACCTGGATCACAAACCTCCAGGTAGCAGTTGGAGTAGACCTCGACGATGAGATCAGAAGGGTACGAGAGAGGTACCACGATTCCTTGAGACCTATGAGAAGCCCGCAAAATTGGGAATCATGGCTCAGCGAATACGACCAAGCTGCAACTCGCGCCGAAGCCCTAAAGATAGGGGACGTGATACAAAGCAAGCTGGTTGTGGACGACTTCCTAAAAGCAGTCTCTAAGATTGCCCCAGCATGGATGGCAACATTCACTGGAGCGGGAAGCGACCGGAACAATATAGAAAGAAGGCAGATGATGAAACTCTTCCGCGAACATATGAGCCTAGCTCACCCAACACGAGGCAAATCAAGAAGTGCCTTTATGACGGGTGAAGCAGCCTACGCGGCGAGCGGTGAATCCGACTCGAACACACAGGGGGACGCCTCAAGTGTGCAAATTAGAGCGCCATCTACCAACCCTAGCCAGGGAAACCAAAGGCAAACAAACAAACGCAAAATGAATGCACCTGGCAACAAGTCCAAGCAATTCCAGAAAAGGAATACAGCAGAAGCTGGCGATATATGTCCTGCTTGTGAACAACGCCATGACATCAGTAGCTGCTACTATGTCAACCCAACTTTGGAGACCCCAGATTGGTTCAAACCGAACAAACACATCACAAAGCTGGTACAGTACAAACTTCAGCATGATGCAGACTTACAAAGAATAATACAGGAAACAAACCTGGAAACGAAGCGACCACGCCTAACTACGGCATCACGATCGATTACACCCTACATCAAGACATCACAAACACCGGACTCAGTCACTGATTGACTAGATGGACGCGAGATCTCGAGGCTGGACGAGGGCATGATGAAAGCGGCATTCAATGCGAGTAATCAAGGATACCCATTAAAGGATGCATTCATCCTGGATTCTGGCTCGACGACGCACATCTGCAACAACCTCTCAAGGCTCGAAGACGTACGCCCGCCTGCGATGGGAGATTACATTTGGGCTGGCAACTCAAGGGTTTGGATACAAGGATACGGAGCAGTCAAGGTGACGGCAGAGGGGGCTCAGGGCAAACAAATTCTACACCTAAGCAATGTTGCCTGGTGCCCAGACTTCCTCTGCAGCCTCGTATCATTCAGGCTGCTCCGAAGACAAGGTATATGGTGGGACAATCGAGGAGACCCGACAAGCCTACGACGATGGGATGGTTCAACCATTGCCACCTTATCGGAACACTATGGGCAATGGGTTATCGAGCCACCTACTACATCAACTTCAGCCTTTCATGTGCGTATGAATCGAGCCAAACGATCACCACAAAAGGCTACTGCCATACTATGGCACAAACGACTCGGACATCCCGGGCCATCCGCGATCGAGCACCTCGTGCAGCAATCTGAGGGGGTGAGGATCAAGGGCATCACCACCGTGGAGTGTGACGCCTGCGGCAGGTCAAAATCGAAACGACAAATACGCAGGACGCCTAGACTGAACGACGAAGGGCCAGGTGAAAGGGTAGCCATCGACTTCCATGAGTATGAGGACGGCAGTTTCACCAAGGAGAAGAGCCAAATGCTGATCACTTGCCGACGGTCCCGATACACATGGGACTTCTACTTCAAGGACAACAGACCGGCTCGCTCAATCATTCGCCTCCTAGGCCTCTTCGTCCAGTTCATGAAGAAACAATTCAACATCACAGTCAAAGTCATCGAGACTGACAACGAGATCGTTACCGTCAAACAAGAGGTCGAAAAATGGTGCACGTCCCTATCAATCAAACTCGAGCCCTCCGCTCCAGATACTCAAGCTCAAAACGGAGGAGCTGAGCGCTCAGGGGGTGTTATAAAAGAAAAGGCACGCGCAATTCGACTGGATGCAAACCTTCCATGGGAACTCTGGCCAGAAACTACCAGAGCGGCGGTATACCTATACAATCGAACGCCAAATTACCCAAACAATTGGAAGACACCATACGAAATATTCTTTACACGCGCAGCTGCCATCAACGGCATAGTCACCGGACCTCGAAAACCAAATCAAGCTCACCTAAAAGCATATGGGTGTAAGGCTTTCGCAATGACAGACGACACCCACAGAGGAAAGTCCAGGCTACAGAGACTAGATCCGAAGGCCTGGATTGGATACCTAGTGGGATACCAGTCAACGAACATTTACCGCATATGGATCCCATCCATGGCAAAGGTAATCAGCACTCGCGACGTAGTGTTTGACGAAGACACAATCTTCAACGGCAAGACTGAGGACCTGATGGACAATCTCATGCACAACACCCTAGAGGAAATCGCAACTTGGGTGAGAACAGTCGAACTCCCAGGTACTCAGAGCCAACAACCAGAAACCGAGACGTTCTACGAGGACGATACGACGCAGGAAGAGAGCCCGCGCACTCAGAAAACCAGATACCACCAAGGAAGGAAGGTGGTAGAGGCATATCTAACCCCGCCACCAACTCCTCCACCTGTGGCCTTGCTAGTTCAAGGAGAGGTGAACAACGAGGATATGACGAACATGTCCAACCAATCAACATCAATGACCAGTCCATGGGCAGCCGCATTCATGGCCGGCACCGAATCAGGACACATTGGTCAACACGAAGGAAAGCCAATCGATAAGGCTCAGGTGAAGAGACTGCTATCCAAGGGAATCAAGCCCCATCGCAACCAGCTACCGCCACTCCCAACAGCATACTCAAAGCTAGAAGACCATCCACTATACGAAATGTTCAAGGAAGCAGAAAAGACACACCTTCAGAGTCACCAACAAATGAAGTCATGGACTGAGGTCCAAGCATCACCAGTCAAACGAGCAGGGCACCAGATCCTAGACTGTATGTGGGTATACACCTACAAACTCGACAAGCATCACCGCCTCATCAAATGCAAGGCAAGATTGGTAGTAAGGGGAGACCAACAACGCAACATCACCTCCCAAGACACATACGCAGCAACATTGGCAGGACGCTCATTCAGAATGCTTATGGCAATCGCCGCCAAATACGATCTTGAGCTGAAACAATACGACGTCACTAATGCTTTTGTGCATGCTGCAATCGACAGAGAAATATACATGAGGATGCCAAAAGGATATCAGAAGCCTGGCACTCTACTCAAAGTGCAAAAGGCACTCTACGGGCTCCGGATCTCACCATTACTGTGGCAGAAAGAATTCACCGCAACTCTTGCTTCGATAGGGTTTCAACAAATACCACAGGAGCCATGCTGCATGATCAAAGACGGAGTTATCATCTTCTTCTATGTGGACGACATCATCGTTGCGTACCGTTCAAAGCAAGAATCAGAGGCCATGAAGGCCATCAACTGGATCCAAGAAAAATACGCTTGTACGGGAGGAGACAACTTACAGTGGTTTCTCGGTGTAGAGGTTATGCGCAATCGCAAGCAGAAGACCATACAGCTATCTCAAGCTGCATACGTCGACAAAATCAGTCAACTCATCAACCACCAAAATGTAAGGCATGATACGCCAATGTCAGGCATCGAACTCCGACCACGAGAAGGACTCGCAGCACCAGCTGAAGTCAACAAGTACCAACGCAAGATTGGATCGCTTCTATTCGCTGCAGTCACAACAAGACCCGACATAGCCTTTGCAACATCACGACTTGCTCGCTTCCTAATCAATCCAAGTACAGAACACCAAGACGCTGCAGACCGTGTGCTCCTGTATCTCAAGAAAACAGAATCCCTAGCCCTCGAACTCGGTAGAGGCGATGGCCTCGAGGTAGCAAGTGACGCGTCGTTTGCAGACAACACACTGGACAGGAAAAGCTCGCAGGGATACGCAATCAAGCTGTTCGGAGGACTCATCGCCTGGAGAGCAAGCAAGCAAGATACTGTGACAACATCAACAACAGAAGCAGAGCTGCTTGCCCTATCACAAGTTGCTAAGGAGGCAATCTTAACGTCGCGGTTGTTAAAAGAGCTTCAGGTAAAGCTAAGCAATCCAATTATCACAATCAAGTGCGACAATACTCAGACGATCCGTCTAGTAAATGAAGACGTTGCCAAATTGCAAACAAAGCTTCGGCACGTTGACATACACAATCACTGGCTACGACAGGAGGTTACCCGAAAGGTGATCAAGGTAGAGTATGTGCCGTCTGACAACATGATCGCAGACGGGTTCACAAAGCCACTGCCAGCCAATAAATGGGCCAGGTTCCTTGATCAACTGGGACTCGTCGAGCGCGAAGAAGCCCCGCTCAGAGAGATTGAGCTTAAGGAGGTGCAAGAGCAACTGGAAGGCCTCATTATGTAGGATCGATCAACCAGTTTATGCAGCTTGCAATATGCCTTCCAAGCTGAGGGGGTGTGTCAGATAGCAGGCGTGTCGAGCCGAAAGTGCCGACACCGCTAGCTAATAACGGGTTAGCGTCTTAGCAGAACAAAACTCTCAGCGCGCACCTTAGAACGAAGAACAATCAATCATGAACATCCATCACTTTTGTGCAATATCTCATCTAATCTGACACATCTTCAACAGTGCTATTATCTGACAGCATCTTTTAGTTAACGCATAAAAGGACACGGGGCACAGTTCTCTATATGCAGCGTAAGATGCTCTTAGAAAGCTATTAACATACGCTACATCTATTTTAGGGCTAATACAAAGAAGGCATAGCGTTTTATTTATTACATTAAATTACTAGTAGCTAGTGAGTGCGCTAACGTAGGCTAAGCTTAGCTGGCAGGTCCCGCTGGGTTGGGTCTCGCTGTAGGGTTTCCCTCTCTCTCTCTTCGGGGCTTTCGGCGAGCTCACTACTACGTTTAAGTGACCTTTAAAGTCGAGGAACATAGTCTTCGTTAACTGCTCTTCCTCCCAAGGTCTCCGACGTTTGATGAAATTGTCTAGATCGCGAGTAGACAGGGGGTTATCGACGGAGAATTGTCCGACGGTGTCGGCGAAACGATCGACAGTACGACCAACACTTCAGAGATCCTTATCGGACCCTGTTAGTCTAAACAAGAATCGATTAATTAACACCGTATATAAAGATCAACTCTATAACTTCTCCTAATAGAGGCGCCGAAACTCCGAACCACCAACCTGTCTCTGGACATAGTGTGTCTCTCCACCTAGGGACGCACCTTAACCCAGTGGTTGAAACGAGAAACTACTCAACAGCTCAACCCCATCGACTCGATTGCTCTCGACAACAGGATCAATAATACCCAGCCGCTCTCAATCATGCCCCGGTACATCCAATACACCGATTTGGCGCAAGTTCTGCGCCCGTTCACTTCCAACGTTGGAGCCGTCCAGGAAATCCTCTTTGCATTCGACCAAGCCGTTTCCAACCTCGTCAAACAAGACGAAGTGGACACTCCTGCTCTGATAGACGTGGTCAGTCATGCGCCTGAAAAGATATTTCAGAGATGTGTCTGGAGAATTTGATAGAGCGGGCCGCAGAGAATCTCTCTGGGTCTCTTAAACTTCGAGTGCAAGAAGAGCCAAATTCAATGTCCTTGGCCTAATACGGCTGCTTATGAAATCTGCACAAGATATCCGCCGTAGGCCAGGGGACACCAATAATCCAAGCCGAGTCATGAACTGGCTGGTTGGCTCGGCAATGCATGGTCACCTCCTCGATGTTGGATCACTAATGTATAGAATAATAATTGTCAACAACTGGGTTACGGTATGGCCAGAGGTTGATTACGAGGATAATAGAGATGATGAAGAGACGGAAGTGCCAAGAGCCGAGGATGTGGAAAACGCTGATGAAACGGAAGTGGCTGCCAACGACCAGGAGGGAGAGTGAGAAAAGGGAGAAGAGGGAGAAGAAGAATCCTTGCCAACTCCAACCCAGTCTCAACCAAACCCTGTCCAGGAAGATAACGATGGAGCCATCGAAGATGATCGCCATTGGTTCATGAATCAGTACGAAGTTGCGCAAGACGTTGCGCTCCAGGCCGTCGGCCCCAAGATCAACGTCTATGATCACACCAATCCAATTGCCCACCCGAGTGAGGATGCGTTCTGTGTCCTTTGTCAAGGTACAGCCGAGGACGAAGAAGAGACCAAAGAGTTACGCTTCTGGGTTAATCTGCGAGTATGATCCCATGGATTTCATACAACATGCTTGAGCGGGCTGTTGAACTCGGTACAGTGGGGACAAAGTAACAGCACATGTCCTCTCTGTAAAGCCTTCATTTGCCCGCGAAGGATAGCGAGGCAAGTGTGAAAAGACTTGGTCGATCTCTCTTCGATATCATGCAGTCGATGGTTTTTCAGTTTGGTACGCCAAATGTGGGCACTGGTATAATTAAGGAGATAAAGACTTTGGGCGGTCAACAAAGAAAGATTGCGGCATAGTTTATCAAATAATGTCGGCCGTTTAGAGCCTAGGCAAATAAAATTACAAATGCATTCATACGTGTGCTCTTTCCCTCTGGTGAAGCTTCCGAGTCTTTGTTTCTATAAGTTATTAAGAGATTATGCTCTAGCATCTAGACACTGTCTATACCATCGTAAATGTAATCGAGGTCACGTCTCATCCCTTACCATCTACCCCTATAACTCACAGCTCACAAAACTACCTGTCTTCTTTAAGAAACTAACGACGACAAAAGCATGTTTCCATACTACAGGTGTGGGGAACAAAGGCAAGAGAGGTTACCATAAAATTTATCACTATTGACGAGAGCTCATGCTGCTATTTAATTGTTTCTCGCTTGTGCTGTGGCTTTGATTGTTGAGCAGAATAGCAAGGACAAATCAGCAAGAGTGTTGGTCGTGAGAAGTAATTTCCATCGCAAAAAATAAGATTGACTGTTCCCTACGCTACTCTAATCATGTATAGGCTTGATTTCCCTACCGCTTGAGTTGTAACTTCACTTGATAGATGAAGTCGAGCTTGACCCACTGGATACAGGTTGGGTACCCGCAATTTCGGCTTTATCCTTATTACTCAACACAACGCGATCGCACCAAGAGCACCAGCTTCTTATATCTCCGCGAACCTCGCGCTCAAGATACTGGATGGATCTATCCTTCTCATCCTCGTACAGCTTGACGCACTCGCCGACGCGTAACTGCTTCTTGAGCTTGATCTTCAGAACGCCACCAATGCCTTCGATTTCTTGATGAAAGTAGGATGTGCCCCTCCAGCGATCAGGTCGATCAGGTGTCTCCGGGGTTTGCGATCTTGCAACTTCAAACACGGGATCTTCCTCGCAGGTCTCGTGTTCAACGAGGCGTGCACCAAGACATCTGATTTGCCTTCCACATTCTACACCCTCGTTTCCTTCGCCAGCGCCAGTGCCCACACCACCTAGGTAGTGCCTATATTGTGTGCGCCAGCTCCAGCCACGAACGTAGATGCCGTCGGCATTTCGCAGGTACCTGCCACATGGCGCACAAAGCCAGACTACATCGTCACAGTTGCAAATCCGCTCAAAAGCAGGGGCTGTGAAGGCTCGAGGTTTATCGTCATCGAACACGACTGGACGTGGCATGGGCGACGAGGAGTCCGACGGTGAGCGAGGCTTCTGCGGAGTTACAAGGAGAGCCAATGGCGCCTTGATGCATGTACTACATAGCCGACGATGACGTACTCGAAGTGCAGGCGTAGGCGGCGGCTTCATGGTGCAGTTCTGAGCTTATTAGCGCCGACTCTATCCATCTGTCAAACGTCATACCCGACACACGATGACGCCGCAGCGCTGACAGCCGCCAACCATGTCGCGCGCACAGATTGTTGGTATCATGCGCTGCTCTGCGTATGCCTGAGCGCCCTCTCTCGCACTGAAATCGACGTCTTCATTGTCGCAATGCAGCGTGTGCTTGACAAGTTGGCTGCGGTATTCCAGTAGATTTGCACGAAACTGCCTACACGTCCGCGAAAGATCATGCAGCGTATTGAGATCGAGCTGCGCAGCCAGTTGGCTCACTATTCTATACAGTTAATATTGGTTAGCATACATAAGGGCGCGGATTGTGTCCATGCTATGGTTAAAGCTCACGGATAGCAGCTGAGGGCAGCGCTGAATCCATTAATGTTCGGGTTCGGTCTCTCTTCTGTCTCTCCCGCACCCTCCCCATTTTCTGCTGGTGAAGCTTCCAGAGAATGGTACAGTGGCTTGACGTTCAGCAAGCCCGACGCGTGCGGGGTTTGGAGCGAAGGAGATTCGTCGTCTTCTAGATCAACTAGAACCACCATCGTGAGCAGCTATAGAAGGCACGTATAGCATCGAAGCCAGACGAGGCTCGATACAACGATAACGAAAGTGTCGATGGTGAAAGAGCGATGGCGGAGTCGTGAAGGAAGAAGGGACGCTTGCCGCGTTGGTGGGGTCCTTGGCATCATGTCATACGCGTCTTCGACTCCGAGGTCCACTTTTGACATATTCCCCGTCAGAGCTGACTCCGACCGCTAGTAGGTGTAGTCAAAGTAGAAAAGCAACCATTGCCTATGCGGCGCATATGAATAGCTCAGGCAGCGGCATGTCCGACTAAAGCGGTCAGCATCTGAACAACCGACCTCAGGAGCACCAGCAAATCCCAAAGAGGTTGGTGCTGCGACTAGAGCTTTGAAGAGCGTTCGATGTACCGCAGGTAAAAATTTGCATGGCCGAAAACTCAGCTGTAATTCTTGCATGTGGTGAGGTATCTGATGAACACAGGACGATCGGACAAAGAATGACATAGCACAAGACGCATGTGCTTAGTCATCAATCTTTCGGCATGCGCTAACTACTTCAGTCGCCTGCCCCTCCTTTGTTGACACCTCCAGAACAATTTTCGGTCTCATACACTGACTACTTCCGCCGTATACAATTATTTGATGCGTAGGGTTTCAATTGCATCCCGGATATTGTGTAATCAGCAAATATGGAGATTGACCAGCTTCGGCTCTCCGCGACGCGGACCGTGCCGGAGAGCTTGATGGCTGATGTCCTACCGGTGGCCACAACGCTATTGTACTCACTTGGCGTCGTCCAATTTGGCAGGTTTCCGTGTATTTTACTAATTCTGTATTGGTTGGAGAGACCGTTCTGATCCACTTACGCAAATCTTCTCAACGCAATGTGCGGGCGCCACCCGGATCCAGTGCTAGATACCCACCTTTAGATCTCTAGCCGTCCAAGATGACCGGGAGTGGATTAAGCTAATGGGTGCCTGCTGTATAAGTAGAGTGTACCCAGTCAGCGACTGTCAAGGCTTAGAGTAGTCTTCCTACGTTCTTTACATGTCTGTCGTCTATCCTACTACAATTTCGCACAACATTATCTAGAGCATGACTACATTTATCATTCGCGATGTTCGCATCTTCACTGGTGAAGAGAAGATAGATGAAGGCTACATACATATCGAGGATGGCAAAATCAACTCTGTTGGCCCCATGAAAGACATTCCAAAAGTCACAGTCAAGACATACTCGAAGCCCGGACATACTCTTCTCCCAGGTCTGATTGACTGCCATATTCATGCCGACAGAGCAGACCCCGTGGCTCTACCACAAGCCTTACGTTTCGGAGTAACCACCGTGTGCGAGATGCACAATGAGCTCGAAAACGTGCAGAAGCTGAAGAAACAGACGCTGGAGCCCGATACTGCTTCCTACAAGACAGCGGCTCAAGCAGCTACAATCGAAAACGGATGGCCCATACCCGTAATCACAGCGCATGACAAGAGTCCGGAGACTGCTGCAGCAATTGCGAAATGGCCAAAGTTGACGGATCGTAATAGCGTCATTGAGTATTTGGATTGGACCGCCAAAGAGATGCAGCCAGACTATATCAAGCTCATGCACGAAAGCGGGACATCATTTGGCCGCGAATTCAGCTATCCTTCCTTCGAACTCCAAAGCATTATTGTTGAAGAGGCAAAGAAGCGCGGTTACTTTACCATTGCACATGCTACATGTCTCAAGGATACCATCGATGTTCTCAATGCAGGCGTAAACGGCCTGACACATACATTCTGCGACCAGACACCCACACAAGAAGTGATCGATGCGTACAAGAAGAACAACGCATGGGTGAATCCAACCCTCGCGACAATGGGTAGCTTGACGACCGAAGGAAAAGAGCTCCAACACAAGTTCGCACACGATCCAAGGGTGGAAGGAATGCTCAGTGAGGATAGTGTCGGTAACATGTGCAAATGCATGGGCTTTGCTACTGAGCATGGGAAGGTTGAATATGCATATGAAGGCGTCAGGAAACTCAGGGAAGCAGGTGTCGACATTCTATGGTATGTGTACCGTACCAGAATCCTCACCAGATGGCTAACATATTGTAGTGGCAGTGATTCTGCTGGTCCTGCTGTTGGTACGGCGTTCGGTCTATCCATGCACCATGAGCTGCACATCTTCGTTCACAAAATTGGTATGACGCCTGCCGAAGCTCTTCGTTCAGCTACCAGCTTAATCGCGAAGCGCTTCAAGTTCGAGGACCGCGGTCAAGTAGCGAAAGGACTAAATGCCGATCTGCTGTTGGTTGAGGGTAACCCACTAGAGGATATCGATGCGACGCTAAACATTCGTGGTGTTTGGCGTGATGGTAATCTCTGTAGCATGTACGCTGAGAAGCTAGAGGCTGGGGTAGAACCGCTGCTAGGCTGATCATTTGTTACAAACGAATACACTTCTCAAATGCTAGAAGCATTCTGGTCACCTTACGAAGCCATAGACGATTATAGCAAATGCAAACAAACCTCAATTGCCCTTTTAAGCTTTCTTCTGACGTGTATGGACACCGCAAATCTAGCGAGAAAGCATGCAAGGGGCCCAGTCCTTTCCTACGTTCCGCGGGGCCAATCCGCGCTTAGTTCATGAGCTCACGACTCGCTCAACTTCATTTGTCATCACCATCGGCATGCGACAACTATATTCTACTACATGGCGTCCGACATAACATCATCTTGAGACGAGTCATAAACCAAGACCAAGCTATGTCGACATCTGTGGGCCGCCCTTCTACAAAAGGCATACCTAACTAACATACCACAGACCACCAACATCAACTATGCAGACAAAGACGGCCAGTTTCGTCGCAAGCCGTCCGCATTTCGCAACTTCATCTCCTCAGATCCAAGCTCTGAGTTTCCAGCAGAGAAAGGGCGCTATGCACTCTACATTCACATGGGCTGTCCGTGGGCACATCGAACCAACATTGTGCGTAGCCTGAAAGGCCTCGAGGACATTGTCCAACTGGTCGTCTGGGACGTTTCACTTGTGCTCGACAGGAAAGGATGGGGCATGTCTGGAAAGCCGGGTTTCGAGAAGGAGCCGCTCTACGGGTTTACGAACTTGAGGCAGTTGTATGAGAAGGCCAGTCCAGAGTACGAAGGACGGTGTCTCGTCCCAACACTCTGGGATAAGCAAAAGGGTAAGTTCATTTTCCATGATGTCCCATTCTGGAATGCTCAGCTCCACTGCAGAGACTATCGTGAGCAACGAGTCCAGTGAAATCATCCGCATGTTCTACACCGAATTCGATGCGCTTATCCCTGAAAGTCTGAGGGAGTCGAGCAAAGGCGATAAAGCCATCTTTCCCGCTCATCTTCACAAGAACATAGAAGAGATGAATGAATGGGTCTATGACACAGTCAACAATGGTGTCTACAAGACCGGCTTTGCTCAAACGCAGGAAGCCTACGAAGAGAACGTCTACCCCGTCTTCGAATCTCTCGACCGACTAGAAGAGCACTTTGGTACGACAAGTGGACCGTTCTTTTTCGGCGATCATATCACCGAAGCCGATATCAGACTATATCCTACGCTTATCAGATTCGACGTCTCATACTTCACCATCTTCAAGTGCAATCTCAAGATGATCCGATACGAGTATCCGAGGCTACACGACTGGCTGCGTAAGCTCTATTGGGATGACAGCGAGCTGACCAATTTTGGTGCGTTCAGGAAGACGGTGGACTTCCAGACGGTATGTATAGATGTGAAGGCGTGCGGGGCTTACGCGCTGATGTTCAGAGCAGTACAAAACTGGATACACGAATGCGACAAAAGCAAAGATTGTGCCAGTAGGACCAAAGCCAGACATTATGCCGTTGTAGTCGTAGATGGAGTGACTTCGGCCGAACGTGCTATCAAGGACAGAGAACGATACCGAGGTATCTGAGCAGAAGATTGATGTTTGATATGTTATTTATCGTTTTTTTGAACGATGTCTACTCTGCGGGTGCGATTGTAGTGGTGACGTGGTGGATGCATGAGCGCGGCAAAAATGGGGTAAGACACAGGACGGCTCACTAAGCCCATCACTGAAGCTCGCTTCCTAAGCGCCTACTGAAAGCGGTAAGAGGTTGTAACGCTCTAGTTATCAGGTTATGACTGATCAACTGAAGAACTATTGCCAATCAAGTAATCTCTTACCCAGTGAATTTGATTCGAGGATGGTTGTCAGGGGTGCCCTCTTCTCAGCTTTAACAACTACCCCCAAGCATAGCTATCCCACCACATTGATGAAAATAAAAACGTCTATTGCGCAACTAGAAACAAAATCCTTTGACAATGTCTTCCACCAGTAGTCCTGCTGGCCATGAAAGCACTTCCATCGCTTCCCTCTCCAGCCGTGTTTCGCAACTGTCCGTTTCCATAGTATCTTATCTCGATACCAACGGCTATGACCAACCAGACTTTTCACGATCACGATGCTCCACCATGGTCCCCGAGACTAGAGAATACGAGGCACTCAGAAACCAAATGAACAATGCCATCCTCGACCTCTACCTCTTGGTCAACGGTCCCAAGAACATCTTCCGAACACAAAACTACCTAGTCGGTGACCAAGCAGCCACATAAGTCGCACTAAGCCGGATGTATTTCAATCACGTCCCGGCTGACGATACTGGTATAAGCGCAGCCGCATTAGCTGAGAGAGCCGGCATGGACGAAAACCGCACAGCCCGATTTCCGAAGATACTAGCAACACAGAGGATCTTTGAAGAGGTATACGGGAAGTTCCGTCATACCGCTACGTCCGAGTTTCTCAGGACTTCTGTCTGCAGCGCCATGGCTGAGTTGTCTTATGATGTTATGTTCAAGGCGGCTTCGGAGATGAACAGGCATATTGATGAATCACCCTATTATACAGGTCTGAAGGATTGTGCGTTCTACAGAAAATTTGGCTCGACGTTCTACGAGTCACTCGAGCAGGATCCGAAGATTTAAGCGCGATTCTTTGATGTCATGAAAGGATGGTCTTTGGGTAAGTCACATCAACCCAATCTTGTCATCGACCTACCTGTGTAATCAGGTTCACACATCTTTAGCCCCCTTTCCTCCGTTGCAAATCAATAACTGTGATACAGTTGATGATAGCAACCGAGTTCTACAAAACGCTTTCGACTGGTCAGAGTTACAGAACAAGAAGGTGGTTGACATCGGAGGTGGGGACGGTCATGTCAGTATGGACCTTGCAAGGGTACGCTAGCCTTTCCCCCCACAATGTCACATCAAGGCTGAAACACTGTGCAGAAATACACCAACTTTGAGATTGTCGTTCAAGACGCCTTTACCCATGAACTCTCAGCTGCAGAAGCTACCGAATTCGGAGATCGGGTGTCGTTCCAGCAATACGACTACTTCACACCACAGCCCACCCGCGACGCTGGAGCCTATCTCTTCCGCAGCTGCTTTCATAACCATAATGACGAGGAGTGCACAAAGATGCTTCAAGCCATCGTTCCAGTTCTGGTGAACCGAACAGATGATCCAAGGCTCTTGATCAATGACTGTATAGTGCCGCAGCGTGCTGAGGGCGGTATCACTAGGAGTGAGGAGCATCAGCATCGGCAGCTAGATATGATCATGCTGGTTTTTTAGGTGGGGAGGGTAGAACGGAACGAGATTGGCGAAGACTCATGGAGAGGGCTGATCCGAGACTTGAGATATTGAAGATGCAGTACAATCCAAGGGGTGGTGGGCTGTTAGAGATCCGCTTGAATGACGGGTTTGTTGTAGCTCCTATTGTTCAAATATAGTGCTTGTAGCAAACTGGAAATTAGGGAAACTTTTGCTTTGTTTATAGTGCCATGTACCGAAGGCCTCCCGGTCGTAACTGTCAGTCTTGCTCAAAACTTATAACTATGCTTAGTGTTATAATTATAAGATTTTTACTATCGGTGTATATACAATGTTTTCAATTCACTCGTCAAAATTTTGATATGTCCAAGGTGAAACAAAATACAGCAGCATTCCAACGTCTGTGAATCGCTGTGGCGGGCGATTGACCGCAGGAACATACTTTCACCGGCCACGCGAGATAAAATAAGAAACCCCCCTTGTCTTGATTTTGAAATTCTCCCCCTCACAGAATCAACCACTCGACCTTGCAACCTACCACTATCGAAGAAACTTACTCACGGAACATTGGGCAAAAGTCGGAGAAGATGGCACCAACACCACCCGCATTCGAGGATTTTCACCGCCGCTGCTTGAAGGTATGCTCGTGGCTCAATCGACCAGACAGTGCTTCTTGTACCATCTGCACCGAGGACTACGACCACGTGGAGCATCGCACCATCCGCATCAAAGTCAAATCACCAACACTCTGTAACCATGTCTTCTGCGAGACCTGTCCTCAGGAGATGTTCAGCCGCAGGAGGGTACAAGATGGCGCTAACAAGTGTCCTCTCTGTCGTGCTGTATGGTTCAAGGCCGAATTCGAGAGCCCCGATGCACAGCGTAGACGAGTGATGGACTCGGTTGAGACTCCTGCCACCCCACCCGAAGCAGATTGGCAGACTTTTTTCACGCTTGGTGGCTGGGACTACTAGATTAGAACCGCCTCTAGTCCAGTTTCTTCATTCCGTCGATTGACTGACATGTTCCGTTCTTCAACGTACTCCGGACGTCAGCATGATCCTTCAACCGCCTGATCCCGTCTTACTTCCGAATTATTGGGTATTCGACTAATTCGCTCGTCTCTAGTCACCCCCAATACCATGCTACAACCCCCGCCACCCCCTGATCTCACCCATCATGACCTTAGGGATGAAATCTTCGAAGCTCTTGCAATGCTCGGGCATGATAAAGCCGCTCAGGACATAAATTGGGGCGAGCAGATACAGTTACTACGCCAAAACTTGGTTCAACATGATGAAGTGGCTTAGGACACGTATCAGGACGAGCAGTGACGGGTATTACGACAACGCCTGGACAAATTGCAAGTTTATGGGGAGTTAGTAGTTTCCCGACGCTAGTACGCGATTGATCATTGCGGCATAGTGGGAAAGCAATTGCCCAAGGCTGTCCTGACGGGGGACCAGGTTGCAAGCAGCCGTAAAGCTGAAACTTAAATACCATTTTGATTTCCTGGAGCACGACGAATATTCCAGATATTCCAGAGAGACATCAAAATGTCTAGATGAAAGGCCAGTAGATGGTGGACTGAGAATCAGGTCGGATAACAAAGGCAGCTAAGTATATGCATTGTCTGATCTTACCGTAGCATTTTGAAGGTTCTAAGAACAAGACCTTATGGTCCTTGTTTGCGTCCACAATGATTATGAGAGAAGTTTTGGAGTACTCAGTTTGTTGTAGCCATCTAAACAGTCAGAAATGTGTTTGTCATGTACCCAATCAAACACCTTTATGATCATGTAACCATCAATATACTCCATTTGATCTTTTTCATTTTCAAGATTTGACGCATATACTAGAGACAACGCATATATGGGCACTGAATAGCATTGTTCATAATACGTGGTTGAGTTAAGAACCATGTAGATGCGAATGAAGCTCGGTTCGCAACCTCAGATTGAACCACTGAAGAAGCTAATCAACTTGGGGTTTCTGAGATAGGAGTCGAGTTATTTCTATCAATTCCTAAGAATACATAAAGCGATTTGGAAACCTTGTACGGATACACTCAGAGGTCAGTCCTGGGTGCGGAGAGCGATGCGAGTCAAGCAGAAATACTATGAAGTGAGTGGCTCTGCTTGATGGCTTCCTAATATGGATAAAATCTCCGGCTCTGTCTCTTGAAAGTAATCGACGAATAGTCTGCTTGTAACGCGGAGAAAAGATATGTCTTGATCCGGTAGATCCGGTAGATCCATGACCTGTCGGGCCTTCCTGCTTACGCCGCCGGAGAGTTTCATTGTAGTTGCGTTGCCTTTGAGATACTTAAAATAGATACCACGAACACCGTAAGCCCTACTGGAGAAAGATCGCCAAAGGTCTGGGATGGTAGGGACTGAGATTCCATCTGAGATCGGTGAGATTCTTGTCAGTTTATGATAAACTGACACGTGTTGAGTTCACGCGAATGATTCAGGGCCGGACAGTGAAATGGCGCTTGTTGATAAGGAAAAATAGTGCAGACATGACAGTAAAATACGTCTCGCTCTTGCTCGCACATGTCTAGGGAGTACTATATCCTAGTCTCAAAATGCTTGGAATGCATACCGATCATGAGGAGCCGCATTGGCAGGGTACGGAGATGGTGCCGTATGCTGCTAGCGCGGTACATGTGCTGTTTGAAGCCTCACTAACATGTTGAAGGTATTAGAAGGAGCCCACGCTCGACGGCTGTACCCGGCATCTTGTGGCGTGGGCGAATGTTGAGATGCAGGAATATTATGGGCTAAGACGGGATCGGTTTAGGCTTATCGCTTACGAAATATCCCTGTAATTTCAATGCCGATCACATCAACTGACATTTCCTGGGAGTAGGACGTCGCAACTAGACGACACACGAAAATTACCTTTCCTCCTTTTCCGCATAGCATACGAAATGACGGAATCAGTACCAACTGCGAACCCCTCGTCAGAGACCCGGCCAGATTCATCAAGCGCCTCATCCTCGGCACCGACAGCCTCGTCTCCAGTACCCAACACACAGGATGAGGCTATTTCTTCTTCGTCAAGCCCGGTATCAACATCCGTATGCGCGCAATGCGGAAAGTCACCAGAATCGCTGAAGCAATGTATAAAATGCCACAGCGTGCACTACTGCAACAAAGACTGCCAAAAGTCACATTTCAAGACACACAAGAAAGCGTGTCCGATTTTGGCGCAAGAGTATGTCAAATTGCATGAGCCAAAGATGGCAAGTCGATCAAGTGGTGGCGCAAAGGGAGAGGGAAGAGAAAGGGGAATACAGAAGTGGCAGGTATGTTTATCGGAAGGTGCGGATGGGGTTGCATGCTAATGTTGGTTAGTTTGACACCTGAGCCATGTGGTGAAAGATAGGTACGATGGTAAGATGGTAAGATGGACTAGTAAGATGGAGGAAGAGTTATACGGGATTGCTAAGAAAAGAAGTGGGAAAGTAGTTTGAGAGTGTACCGATGAGGGTTGATACCCCCCGCTGTTGCGAAAGTGATTAGTCGTCAAATGCAAAACGGGAAGTCTAAGTACCGAGACACGTGCAGCGGACCATGTGCCGCAGTGAGTGCTTTTGACAAGAGTACGACGGCGCTGGTGTCTCGATGCATCAGACCCAAAAGGAATCTGATAAGAGACTATAACACGGTGGCTATGGTTTGGTAGCGCATTAACATGTGGCCGGGCAGTCTAGATGCGCACGGATCATTTCTCCATACGGTAAGGCGCAGCAGGTTTGTGTGGCGGTCCCAAGGGTCGTGTGCGTAGATGGCCTTCTGGAACAACAGCAAGGGTACGTGCTGCTGTGGCTCGCACGAAAGCGATCGAAGATGAGCGACCGGGCTGGAGATTGCACCTGCGACAGAAAGAGTGCTATGAGCAATATAAGTGCGGGCCAAAAGAGGCCATCAGCTGGGTACGGCATGTTTGGCATGCATCGTGTAGGTCGCTAGTGTGCAGAGTCTGACCCACTACTCAGCTTCGTCGGCGGGACTAATCAACAATGGCCGTAGCGGTTCAGGCAAGCACCGATGGAAAGGCTGGCGATGACTTTTTCTGACAATTGATATCGGCTGACATGCACGTAGCAGGCGATGAGACAAGGTTCGGTCAGGCCACGCCAATGCTGTGTTGTAAATTCTTTGCGGCGAGGTCTAGATCTGCTGAGACCCTTGCCCACGCTACCACCATCAACTGCAGCGAACATCGGGTAATCACTCCGCAACCCGCCCTGAGCCACCACGCTCCCACTGCACCGGCCTTGTTTGCTGATGCGGCTTGGGTCTTGTAATTGCCATCGTTCTCCATCGCGCTTGACCAGCTGATTCACTCGTTTACTGTCACCCTCCTTCCTGTTCAATCCCATCTTCCCACCTGCCCGTGACTGCCGCCCCGCAGTACTGCGAACTTTGGACCTTTGTACTTGGACAACACCACTTCAGCCACGTCTCTGTGCGCCTGTCCAACCCAGCAAACGCCATCATTATAGCGTGCCCTGTGCCCAACCACCCATCCTCGGACATCTGGTTTGCCATGACCGAACCCCAGTCCCCATCACGTGTTGCCCTCCAGCAATTCCAAACTGAGACTTCTTCACACTTTCCATGCCAGTCCCGCGAAGCTTTCCAGCCCAGCTCTGTTCCAGCTACGCCCGATGGAGGTGTAGATGCGGGTCCTTATCATGACATAGCTCACCAAAGCTATATGCCTTCGTTCCTCGAAGACTCTTTCCCTCAGCCTTTCCCGCACCCTTTCGACTTGCCACAGCCCTTGAAGACTCCTACGATCGAGGAGCGGCCAGATCTTGACTTGACTTTGAGTCTTCCCGCAGGTAGCGCCTCGCTCCCTACATCCACTGTACTGAGGACAGCGCATAACTTGCGTCTGCCCTCGTTCGATCAGCTTGGAATTGCTGCGCCCCACCCCGATCGCATCTCGCTTCAAACCGATCAGTCTTTCTCTCCATTAGGCGCCGGGCCACTCTCAAAACCAGAAGATCCCCTCCATGCGCTCAGCCCACCTCTCGGTCTTTTCGAGCACCACGAAAGCAACATTCATGCCCCCGCTACCACTCCCAAGGCTGCCAAAGCTGGTCTGGGACACATTATATCCACGCACACGCCTCCCTCGGAGCCGGGGACGATCAGTTGGGGATCCTTTGTGAATGTACGGACAGCTGGACTAGGTTCACCCCCCAGTTCTGATCCGGGCAAATCACCCAATTTGAGAGTAACTGCAAGTACAACTGCCCCTGCTCAAGCGCCCATCATCGTTCCAACTCACGACGAGTTCACCGACGCACTGAGAATGGAAACTTGGATAGACGATGTGAAAAGCACCATCAGTGAGTAGTTTTTCCACCCGTCCTGTAAGCATTTTCTTGTGCTAAGCAGCTGCAGTGGCCGAATCTGGATGCCTACATCATGACTCCGTCAAGATACTGTCCCATGCCCTCCCTTGTCCTTCAACAACAGGCCATATTTTTGGTCAAATCATCGCTTCTATCCATGACAGGTCTACGACGGAAACTTCATGGATTAATGTCTTTCATGCCCTTCCTGGCCGCTACACCCTCATGGACCTTCCCAAATCCCCGCCATCGACTCCTGGGCCCGCTATTGGAGGAGACTCATACTTCACAAGCAAAGTCTTTGATAGTGCCGTCGCCATCCCCGACTACCAGCTTGACTCACAACTTTTGCCCCCATCACCTAGGCCTGTGGTCCCACCGGGTAGCATCAATGTATCCATTGTCGAGAGATACATTCCACCTACGAATACGAACGAATATTCGGAAATGTTTACATTTCGAGGGCGATCCCTGTTGTACGACCGCCTGCTCGAGCTTTCTAGCAACGATGGTATTCTCCTGTTCATCTACCCGACCAAGACTGGTGCGAAGACTTTCACGCAGCAGTATCTTGGACCAATCCTAGATCCCCTCCTGCGAACTATGACAGTAGTAAATGACCTTCATTCAGAGCTGGGAAAGAACTTGGGTCAAATGGCCTCGGTAAACTACCTGGATGAGTACAGTCGTCTTGAAAGCCAAGTGCGGAAGTTCTGCTATGCTATGACCGAACGCCAGGCTAACACCGACTACAACGTCATCTATTCGGCAAAAGAGGAGGTTCCATTGACGAGGTCTGCTTGGGCAGACGACTGGTGGATAAAGCAGGAAAAACCTCGGATCCGGGATCTCATCTCATCATACTTCTCCAAGACGAGGAAGCTTCCATCTAGTGAATACACTAGCGCAGCCATGATCGAGGAAGTAATCAAGGGTGTCTCAGAGCGAGACTATTACGATGGAGAACCTACAAAAGGCGTTGAACTCGGCATCTTTATCGTTAAAAAGACAAGAGTCGCTACATAAGCTTCTCGCCTGCCACACCGACTGGAACACGGATGGTAGAGAGCGTTTCGACATCACACGAGGCAACAAATAAACGTTGTATCAGTAAACTTGACCAGGTGTTTTACTTGAAGCAATGATCTCACGGGTACATGAAAATTACGATACGAGGACTCCTACAGTACGACGGTGCGATTATTCATTATGTCATAGCATTTGCGCGGCGTCAGCGGCATGGATTGATATCTGTCTGTATTACAGAACAGCCCACAAAAGAGAGCAAAGGGACGTAATAGTAATACTCCGATGAGCATGTTATAGCAGATTAAACATTTTAAAGCAGACTGGGTTTTCTCGTACGAACTTGCCGTGACCAATATCACATGTTCCCATTTTTTTTCGCACGGGTAGGCAGGGTAAGCTTACCTGCATACATATACCAAGGCATGCCTGCATTTTTCTTCATGCTGCATGTGGGGACCTGACCTCTCGCGATAACCGCACCAAATATATATCCCTCTGTGATATCCTTTGAGCCCCAATCACTTCAAGTCAAGTGACCCTGCTACAAACGTCTATCTACAGGGGAGCTAGAGTATTGGGCAAGAAGACGCGAGAAGACACCGGACCGTCCAAGGCTTGAAGGTTGGTTCTTGGGTTGTTGCCAAGGCGCTAGCACAAGGCCCTTTCTAACTACTCACTTCTGGCTTTGCCATCACTTACCCGCCAACCTGCATGCAGGAACATCGGGCGATCACTAATTGATACTTTCAAACTCTAACTCCGACACTGAGTTCTGTGCCGAAGCGCTCGGGGTAGATCCTGGTAGGTATGTCATTCCTTGTCGTTTAGTTTTTCTCTGCTTTTCTCCATGTTCGCGCTTTCCCGATGTCTTCCTAGACTTGTCTCTGTCACGTGCACATATGTTACGCGCGGACGTCGATCGTTGCAGTGATGGATTGAGAGCACAAGTTCGGCGCGTTAGAGCTTGGAAAACGACTCTCACCCAACATTCTATTCTTCAAACCTCTTTTGGGCAATGCGGAACATGAAGGTGTAGGATTGGACTAACTCAGGTGTGGGTAGGCCTAATCTGGACGCATACTCACAGATTCTACGCACAAGTCTCGTGACATCGAGGCAGAGCGACTTAACACCCACACCACTCAACTAAACTCACATCTCAACCCACAAACCATCGCCATCATGCACGTAAGCCCCCCTACCACATTAACCCACCAAGTGCTCTTAAACCCTCTGCTCCTCCCCTACGCCCAAGTCCCCAACACCCTAACCCACCCTCCAGATCTCCAAACCCCAATCCGCCCTCCTCACCAACCACGAAGTCCTCCTGCACCTTCTAGCCGAAGATGCCGAATACACGGGCACCGACTCTACATCGCGGGAGCGCAAGAAGCCCTCTGGTCTGAACCACATGCTACGCGATGGTCTCACGTACCTCCAAAACTCCGCCTTCACCACCACCAGCTCGCCCGTGGAAAAACATCCAAACAGGCCTCTGACGCTGTACCGGGGCCCGCACAGCTTGTTCCGCGCGCTTGCGCCAAAGTACCGCTTGAATAAGGCAGAGTATTTGCAGTTGTATAATCTGAGGCCTAGTACGCAGGTTATGCTTGAACTAATTATTGAGGAGGTGAGTGATCTTTTTTACTTTTCTATTCTCTTTTTGGCTATGGGTTTGTTGGAAGGGAAATGCTGACAAGTGGTTTATAGGCAGGAGCGCGGTTCAAGGAAGAGGACTTGCTTGATATTCTGGCTATCATTCAACAGGTGTTCGAAGAGGAAGAGGCGAACATCCCGCCTGGAGTTGAGGATATGGAGATGCCCAAGATAGCTAACAAGCTTCTGGGTGCAAGCAAGAAGCGGAGGAAGATCAAGAGGCGTGTGGACAAGGCTTGAGGTCGTCATGTGAACAGGTTGAGATGGGGAAGATCTGGTTGAAATCATTAATGACAAGGAAAACACTGGCTACGAAGATGAGGATAGTCATGTAGGAGGCTGTGGTCAAGCGCAGTGAAGCATCACATAGCAAACGAGATCAACACCAAACTTTTATGAACATGTAATTGTATGCTACCAAGTGGCGGGTATCCATCCACATCCACAGCGTCCCCATCATGCAACGTAAAATGGACTTGCAAAGGTAAAATTACACAGAAATGCCCATTGCCTCATACGCCGCTCGCCCAAACAAAGCAAGCTCAAACCCAGAAAACGCCGGTGCCCATTTTGGTCAGAACATGGCTACAGATAAAGTTGCAGCGTCAACATTGTCCCAAAAGCGGGGTACTGCGCATCTAGTCCTTGCTCTTCTTCTTCTTCTTTTTCTTCTCTCCATCGTCACCTCCGTCAGCTTTCCGCTTCTTGCTTTCCTTGGTGTCAGACTTCTTTGACTCCTTTGCCGCCTTTTTTGCCTTCTTAGCCTCGCGCTTGGCTTCACGCTCTGCTTTCCGTGCCTTTTTAGCAGCCTTTTCAGCCTCCTTAGCAGCCTTCTTGGGGTCGACCTTTGCGGTTTTCTTCTCCTCTTCTGAGTCTGAGTCGGACTCGTCAGCACCGGCGTCAGCATCGGCCATTGACTCGTCTCCGTCACTGTCGACTTCTTGTACCAGCTTCTTGGGAGCCTTAGCCTTCTTAGACTCCTTGGGCGCATCGGCGGCGGGCTCGTCACCAGTAAGACCATCGGCGTCTGGGTTGTACTTTCGCGCTTCCTTGACCTCCCACTTCTTCTGTCCACCAAGCGCAGTCTGGTTGGCGTTGGCCAAGCTCTTGAGCGGCTTGCCCTCGAGGGCGCGCAGTCTCCTTTCGATGGTAAGGCGTGCGTCACGACCGAGCTGGGACTTCTCTTCTTCGGAGGGCTCCTTGGAGGTGTCCTCGGACGATACACCCCAGGTACTGAGGGCATCGACACGCAGACCCAGAGCAGACTTGGCAGCAAGCATACGAGCAATCTTTCCCTTGTTCTTTCCAGTAGCTTGTCCAATCAAGGAGGCATGGTATATCAAACCGTACTTGGCTAAAACAGTGTTAGTAGATGAATAGTAAGTCATAGTAGCATGAAGAGAACTTACGTGTATCATGCTTTGTCTTGAGCGCACGGAAAAGCGCCTTTTCAGCACCAAGAATTTGGATGGTAGAACCAGGCGACTTGGCAAGGTTCATGAGAGATCCGGCGTGGGCGATAAGGCGCGCACCAACAAGCTCACCAACCAGAGCAGTCAGGTTGGGTGCAAGGGCCTGCATGCGGCTCGACAGGTAGCTGCCGAGGCTCTGTCGGTGCTCCGTAAGGTCTACGACCTGCTCAGCGAGAGCAGAAGTGGCCTCGAGATCTTCGTCTGTGATTTCGGTACCCATTGAGATCTCTGCGGCCGCCTTAACAGCTGCCTCGATCTCTTCGGGGAGGATTTCCGAAAGGTCGCTTTCGCGAGCCTTTGTTCGGAAGCCCATCTTAAGAACAACACGAGCTGAAGATGTTAGCAAGGCTCAGCTTGACAGTGCTACGAGCTTACAGTATGCAAGGTTGTCGTTGAGAATCTTGGCAAGCTCTGGGAAATGCCATCCATACCATTCCTTGACACGCATAGCATAAGTGTTCAATTGCTTACTGAACGCCCAAGTTAGCATCTATACTGCAATCACATCTAAGGCCATGGACCAACTTACTCTAAGACATCGAGACTGGCAATTGACTGGATGATCATGGTATCGACCTTGTCGGGGGAGAAGCGCAGCTTGTGTCGCGACAGGGAATGGGCGAGACCGAGTCTGGTCGCGGCTTCTTCAGCGGGGAGGAGGTCGGGGAGGAGCGACGTCAAGTTCTCGCGGATCGCACGGAATACGTCCTGTGTGGAGGAGTCGGACACGGTCTTGAGGGAGAGGCCTGGAAGTTGGGCAATGGAATTTGAGAGCTTCGGATCAGCGACGGCCACTTGAGCGATGTTAGCTGCGATCTTCTTTTCGTATGCTAGCGAAAAGTCGTACAGGTAGCTTTGGTCTCATCCTTCAACTCGTCCAAAAGAGACGACAGCATGGGCGTGACCTTTCCATCGTGAAGTGCGGCGGCCTGCTCGAGCGCAGCTACGGCGCTGCCAAACTTGGCAAATTTCTTCACCTTGAGCTGCTCAACGACGCTTGAGGCATCTTTGCTGTCTGAGCCCAAGAGCTTCTTGTCCTTGGACTTGAGAAGGACGTAACCCGCCGAAGTTTCCGAGAGGATGAAAAGACCCATTTTGTGAGTATCCGGTCGTAGGGCAGGTCCAATGCGAATCGCAGAACGCAGCTACCCTGTGTGGTTTATTGCGGCGTTGTGTGGGAAGTCGCGATTGGGGTTGTCGCAAGCTCGAATGCGTAGAATTGCAGCTCTCGAACTTTTTCCTGAGCTCGGGCCATCCGCTAACGCTAACCCCGGAACGAACAAGCTCGATAAGTGCATGCACTCGTCTCAAGCACATGCACCCAAAGAACACCCAAGACAATTGTGTTGCAATGCGCTGCCATGATATAGCCACTCCAAGTCGCTACTTCTTATCAGAACAGCCATGTCTTCTGGCGGCGACCGCAAAGTCTCGGGCACCCTGAGCCGCAGCACTAGAGGACCGCCTCCACGTCTCGCCGACCTTGGAGAGTCACCACGGACACCGCTCCTGCGCACCATCTCGGCTACCTTTGGCTCGCCCGGTGGCAGCTTCCGTACCGAAGACGAATACATCGTAATTGAGGTTGGGTCGCGTTATGTCCGCGGTGGATTCGCTGGCGAAAGTGCCCCGCGATGTACCCTTCCATTCGGGCCTGACGAGCAGCGCAGAATAGGCGACTACCGACAATGGGATCCTGAGCATTCGCAGAAGAGGAAGCGGCGGAAAGCGGGAGAGGATTGGGGACACGATTACGAGCTGTATCGCATGGACTTGACCAAGGTTGATTTGGGCCTGGTAGAAGACAAGTTTGAGAGGGCAATGAGAGAGGCATACAGCAAATACTTCTTGTTGGACACGAAGCCGCGACGAATCATGCTCGCCATGCCACCTCGTATGCCACATGCGCTCATGTCGACTTTCTTCGACGTGCTCTTTACCAGCTTTCAAGCCCCGAGCATCACCCTCATGTCGACTCCAGTACTATCGACAGTAGCTGCGGGGCTGCGCTCTGCGCTGGTGGTAGACATAGGCTGGGCAGAGACGCTCGTAACCGCTGTATGCGAGTTTCGTGAGCTGGCAGAGAGGCGCAGCGTTCGGGCAGGCAAGATGCTCAGCGAAGAAATGGCAAAACTGCTGAACGCTGAACTTGACGCCGCCGAACCAGGTGCAGAGAAGTCAGACATATCATTTGAAGAGGCCGAAGAAGTTCTCACACGTGTTGGATGGTGCAAACCAATTCCGAGATCGAATCGGAGAACCTTATACTTTCCCGCACGCGAGGCCCCTGTACTAGAAGAGTTTGAAGATGCCATCGAGTCTCCGCCGCCTAAAGTCACCATACCCTTCCCGAAGCACACGCCTCCTATCGAAATTTCTGTACCCTTTGCATTACTAGCCAAGCCTACCGAGGACGCTCTCTTCGCCCCAGAGCTAGCACGAAACGAGTTCGACGATGAGGAACTCCCCTTACACCACCTTATCTACCGCACGCTTGTTCAACTCCCGATCGACGTCCGCCGAATGTGTATGTCGCGCATAATCATCACAGGCGGCGTGTCGAACCTCCCCGGCCTTAAAACGCGTATACTGAGAGAGATGGAAGCACTGGTAAAGATCAAAGGTTGGGACCCTGTCAAGAGTTACGGCACGGCAAGCGCACGTCGCGAAGAGAAGCTATACCGTCAACGGGAAGAGTTCGAGATGCGCCGGCAAGAAGGCGAAGACATGGTAGCCTCGTCACTAGAGCGGAACAGTCCCCTATCAACACCAGTAGCGGCATTCCAGCAGCCTGAAGAAGACGCCATAGACACCAAGTTTGCTGAACTAGCTGTCCGTAACGGCCCACCACCTGCGAGTTTGATAGGTGGTGCGATCAGAGGTGTAGATACGCTGGGTGCGTGGGCAGGCGCAAGTCTGGCCGCTCAGCAACGTATCAAGGGCATAGTAGAGGTCGAGCGGGATAGATACCTCAAAGATGGTTTGCAAGGCGCGAATCGCGAAAAGGAAGTGTCGGTCATTCCTCAGAGACAGAGCATGATGGGCCCTAGTCTAGCAACCAAAGGCGGGGAAAGAGCGAGTTGGACACTGGGCATCTGGGCATAGAAGTGTGGTATAGTCGTCATGGGTTCAAGATGAACTGTTGTTGTCATTGTTAAGATTTTGTTTCGCGCTGATACCCCCCGTTCAATCAAGTCTCCGCGGTAGACATTCTCTGGTCTCGTCAAGTCACGTGTGCTATTTCAGGTTGCAAGTGTTTCTGTTTTGTCACGTGCTGGTGAGAGAGCTGCGCTTTCCCAAAGATGTCCGGCTTCGGCGGCTGCAATCCGGGCCTGGTAGGCACTTCCGTGGTTGGCTTTTTCTCACTGAACTTGTTTACACATCTTCCGCTACGCTGAACCTCTACATCTCTGCATTCCGTCGACTACGCAAGTCTGCAAGTGCACACATGAACATCCGAACACTGCCTACTTAACCACTTACTGGACTGTACAGTTTCGCAGTTTCAGCACTGACATATAACGCATCGTACAGACAGACACATGCGTTGGCACCTTGGCATGAACGCCCACATGCATGTTTTGCCAATGGGATGAGTCTAGTGGCTTGCGTGGCGTCTGATCAGGCTCTCTGGAATACTCATATGCTACCTTTCTCAGCCGTTCGGGCATCTGTCCAAGTGTGCAAGTGTGCAAGTGCACAAGTGCGCAAGTGTGCGTATATACAAGCCATCGTCTGAGAAAGTGCCCGTTGGGCCAATCGTTGGTGGTGAACAATCTCTTAAATTCCACTGCTTGTCCCCGATAAAGAGTCCTCCAGGTCCTCCAGACGTCCTTCTCTTGCCTGTTTCAATCCGATGGACACACCAGACCCCAGCCCACTGAGTCCTTCAGTGTTTGCTGATGCCGCACACTTCCCTCCAAATCAGGTCAATCCTTTTTCTCACTTTGGACAACAAGCATTGGACAACTTTGCATTTGACTCCAATTCTTTTCGAAATATCGATTTCAACCTCAGTCCCAACGATCCTGACCTTCAAAATTTTCACGAATTTGTTGATTCTGAATTTCTGCCCACTTCACGTGATCTACAGACGGCTGATCTCGCCCCGAGCTTAGAGAAAGCTCATGGATCTGAACGACCCATATATACTGCTGTAAGTTTTGCTTTTGCTCGTTGCGCAGAATTCCTCAATGTTAACATCTTGCAGGTCACAGAGCTCTGTACCAGGAACACAACATCCACAGACACAAGCTCCAGCAGGGTGCCCCAGGATATCTCCACAGCACCGGCGATATCACCAGACATGGATGTAGAGTCCACTGTCGGGCGAGGACTTGGCTGTCCGATTTTCGAGGCGGAGATCTTGGTTGCACCCGACAACACCACATGCAACGGATTGACTGCACCCAACATGTCTAGAGTTCGTACACACTTGAACCGTCAGCACGTAAGAAAAGAACAACAACCTGGTGTCGGGATAAAATACCTGAAGTACTGCAAGAGATGCAAGACACATTTCGTGAATAAGGAGCTTCACGAGACGTCTCATGGAGCCAAGAAGTGCAGGAATGATCGGCCACGAAAAACACAGCAAGAGGAATGGATAGCTCTGAGTACCCTGCTATACGGTCCTGCGCTCGCACAGAGGAGCTACGACAGTAACTATACCCCAGATACATATGTCATCATCACGCTCACACGTTGCATAGATTCCATTGCCAGGAAGAAGACCACTACGCCCGTAAACAGTACACCCGAACCTTTCTCAACTATCAATCCCTCTATTTCACAATCTTTGGAGGAACCACCCCCCGCCAAGCGTCTCTGCACGGCCTGTGGTCATCATTCGAACGTAAGTGCTTCTGAACCCCACTTGCTATCAACACTGAGTAATGGATAGTAGAACCGTGATCCTTCCTTGAACCATGGACCACATTTGGCTGCTGGCATCGATTCTGCTAGCGAAGAACGCGCAGAAACTCATCATACCTCAAACGTTCAAGCCGTAACGCTCCCCACCAACCTCGCCTTTGTATATATGGTCAGAAACGATGTCACGTGTTTGGATCCAGATCCTATTTCGCAGCGCGAACATGGTAGTGAAGCCTACGAGAGACGGCCTGGAGATTTCGATGTTATACCACAACTGGCTATCGATGGTAAAAAAATGCATCAAGTTTCATTCGGATCCTCGGTTTCGTTTGAGACATTGCCCGTATCCTCATCTGCTCGACAAATTTTGCCGTCCATTGGGGAGCTCGAGGCACCAGTTTCAGTTTCAAGACGTCCGTTGTAAGTAACAATCAACTGTTCTGTACATCCACAGAACTATGCTTACACCTTCACAGCCAACATGCCAATCCCGAAGAACATTATCAGGAGCGGCGGTTGTTGCCTAACAATTTATCATTCAAGGACGCTCCGTGGGACCCGTTGAGACTATCGATACCGACGGATCTAGACAGCACCCTCTCGACTGTATACACAACCAGCCACCGTGACACTGTTGAGCCACACACTACCGAGCCATCCAATCCCCTATCTAGTTCTAGGTCAGCTGATGCCTTCAATTTCCAAACACTTTCGATAACTAACAAGGTAAACAGTATCCACATTTCTCAGTGTAGTCTTCCGGAATCTAGCGAAATGCGCTGCCCATACCGGGATTGCAACAAGTCCTTCCATGGCACATGGTGTCGTGGCAATCTGGCTAGACATATGAAGCAGGTGCACGAAGGGAACTCCCCTATAATTTGTCATTTTCGCGGTTGCTCAAGAAACTTTCGACGGAAAGATGCACTTACGAAGCATTACCGCAAACATCACAACAGTGATATATCTCAGCCTTCGGAAGAGGCATCCTAGAGATAATCCTGGGTTTAGATTCAATAGTATCCTCGGCGTTCAAGTCTTTACTTCTGGTTCCAACCTTACCTCTTCCACTTCGATCATGCTATGTGCCTTCATGTTATTGTTCCGTGCAAGGATGACATCTCCTTCACTCTTTTGTTCTTTTTGACTTCAGATGGCTTGCCGCGTCTTGTGTAAAGATGAAAATCACATCAGCACTAGCCTTGAACCCTCACATACCTTTCAACCCCAAAATCCGATCAATTTCACACAACCTCCAAACATCACGCAACAATGAATCAAAACACAACCCACAAACACCGAAAGCCCGAAAAAAGCAAAAAAAGATAACAAAATGGGACATATCCCGAAAACCACAAACATTCATTCATTATGGATATCTAATTCCTAACATTCCCCCTAACAGAGTCATCCCCACCATGCGTCTCAGCAAACTTCTGATCCCTCGCCTCCGGCGCACCCACACCTCCATGTGCGAAATCCGCAGCCTTGGTAGGCTGGCCGTTGGGCTTGATGGAACCGCCTTCGTCGAGGGGGATGTCGCGGTTGTTGCCAGCGCCGCTGGCGTCGGAGCCGTATTTTACGTTTGCGCCGGCGAAGTGGGGTTCTACGTTTGCCGTGTCGACGCCGGATTCGACGGCTGTGGGTAGGGTTAGCATAGGTTTGAAAAGATGGAGGGGGTGGATAAACGTACTCGAATCACCAACCTCATGACCATGTTTAGCGCTGTGGCTGTTGAGGTCCTGCTCCGCCTGCTTGGCGAGCTCATTGACGTTTGTGTTCTTGTATTCGGCGGCCATTGTGATTACGCTTCGCTCGTTCTTTCGTGTATAGGGGTATATTAACGCGGTGTGGTTGTTGTGGTTGTTGGTTTGAGTATCAAAAGATATGAATTGTGATGGTATGATTGAATACAACAGCAAGAGGGGTAAGCAACGACTTTTATAAACAAACAGATCAGCTATACTACGCACGATGACATATGCGACATATGATGTACAACGCAAGAGAGAGAGAAAAACTACAGTGGTGGATGGGTGGTGGACCCTGATGATGTCACGGCCACCTCATAAACAGCGGGTCATAGACATCGCGATCGCTGCTGGCGATGAGGAAGAGAGGGGAAAGAGGGAAAGAGAGTTTTGCTGACTAGTCAAGTGCTGCTGGGTGTGGAGCGACTGTGGACAAGGAAGTTGATCTGGAAGATGTTCGTTGCTGCCGTCATAGTCCATCATGGTATCGTCCTAGTCACATGACCATAATCTTTCAAAACACAAAACATAACACAAAACATTATAGGCCGGCATACATCGATGCATTGGTACCAAACTACAAACTGAGCGCATGCAAAAACCCCTCATTCGTCTCTCATAAAAGCCATGAAATAGCGGTCATAATCCTTCATTAAAGAAAGAGACATTGACCCTTCATGCTCGAGTTTCGTCAGTCCAAGCCTACTCGCTCGTCGAGAACAAAACGCCATGCTCGCAAAATGATATATGCGCATGAATGAGAAAAGCGAGAGAGCAGCCATTATAACCAAGGGAATATTTTTTTACCTGCAGGTTTTCATTATCACCTGCCCACCGTCCATCCACATTACTTCCCATTCCTTTCATTCAGCAAAAGTGACATGTTTGAGTGGAGACCGCTGACGGGTCTTCCTGCTCGTACGACGACAGAGAAATCGTGCATCACCCTTCCTTCTATTACTTCTCGCCCAGTTGCTAACAGCGGCGCGTCTCAAGCAGTTGAGCGAGACGCTGGGCTTGAGATCAGTCGCCTAAAAGATCTCCGAGTCGAGACTGCTGCGGTAGCTGAGTAGCGACTCTTCGTCCTCGGCAATGGGCTTCCTTCGGATGACAGTGTCTGAATGTTGCAGTGGGCTGCTTGGTTGAGGGCTCCTGGTGCCGATAGCCCTAGGGCCAGTGATCTTGCGCTGCTGCGGGCTGTTCAAAGGACTGCCACGAAGATTTTGGGAACTTGGGCGAGGCGATGCAGTGGGCGTCATCTTTGGGTTGTATTAGCATTTTTCTTATACAGGGCCTGACCTAACTTACGCGGTGGCCCCTGTCTGTTTCGAGAGAATAACGCACCTCTGCAATAGGTGCTAGTGGTGTCAAAGCACCTTGGCTACCGAACTCGTTCGGCGAGCTGTACATCTGCCTGGTCTGGCCATAGCCTGCAAGCGTCTGCGGTGGCGGAATAAGTGGTCCGTCATCTGGGATCTTGGGTGGGCGAGGTGGACCCGCTTGCTGCTCTGCAGAGTGCTGACTGTAGTCATCAGACGAGATTGGTGAAAGGTTGCCAGCGTGAGGCGCAGACATGCCAGATAGGCGGTTACGAGCAAGCGACGGCATGCTACCCCACTGATCGTAGTCAGGGGATCCTATATCGGAGCGAACAGGCTCATAGATCTGTGCTTGGGTCTCCAAGTTGCTCTGGTGGCGACCAGTAGGTCCAGGTCGTGGTTGAGGATGTTGCAGATTCAACGAGTTGCGATGAGCCTGGTACTTGGGGTCCTCCATCTCATACTGATGCTCCTCTGGGATGAGAGGGGAAGGAGAGCGTACAGAACGGATAGAAGCTTGCTCTTGCCTGTCAATAGACGCGCTGGAGCGAAGTCTATCGTCAGCGTGCTGCTCATACGGCTCCTCATCATCGTAGTAGTCATCTCGGGAGGATGACCTAGAGTGGGCAGAGTAGGGCCGCTTGTCTCCAGAACCGCTGTTGCGTGGTAGGCTCTCAGGATTCGTAGACGAAGTCGTCTTCGACCATCGCGAAATCTTGGGGATGCCGAAGATGGACGATGAGTTGGACTTGTGCTTACGCTTCGGTGTGTTGTCTTGGCTTTGTGAGTCTCTCTGAGCCCTTGAAGCCTGTGATGGAGTCTCTAGTGACCCACGCTTCTCCTGGAAAGCCTCCTGAGTCGGAGTAGTCATTCGCTCAGTGTTCTCGTAGCGGGAGTTTCGCCCAATAGATTCCTCGTCGCTCTCTTCCCGTACCGTGCTGATACGGTTAGTAGGCACGACATCGTAACCCGAGTGGAGATCCTGGATGCGCCGTGACGATGAGGGGTTGGAGAGATAACCCGACTGGTCAGGTGAAGGTGCTGTGTCGGCACGACCTTCTGGCTCATAACCAGCATCGGCACTTGCACGTAACTCTTCATATGAGTTGAGGCTATTTGACCGGGCTTGCTGGTCCAAGGTGAGTTGGTTGACTTGCTTCAAGCCCTCGACTTCACCAAGCAATTGAACTAACATTGCTTCAATGTGCTTGATGTCGCCGTCCCCTTTACCCGCGCTCAGACCCTTGAGTGCTCGTCTGAAGACACTCTTCTTCTTGGTCTCAATGTCAACCTCATCCGACGATCGGTTGACGCGGGGAGGTGTCATTGGCTGAGGACGAGGGCCACCCAAGATCCGTTGCTCGGCAAGATTGACCCTTTTGTCGGTTGTGTTCATGATCATATTGTCTTGAGTCTTAATGAACTGCCTGAGGTCATCCAATTGGTTGCGCATCTCCGCCGCGCTTCGGACAAGGGTAACCAGAATCTCGGTATCACGCGCATTACGTTGGGCGTCGCGAACAGTGAGATGATCCATAAGCGCCACAATGTCCTTCGACTGAATGCGATCGATACCCTTGCCAGTGGCTGCGTCGTAAAGGGGCGAGGTCATGCCATGCGAATTACCGCTGACGTGTCGGTCGTGTTTGGTGGTGCGATCAGCAAACATGTCTGGACCGCCAAGGTCCGCATCATCGTACTCGTCACCGTAGCCGTCATCCTCAAGCATCTTGGAGTGATTGCGACCCTGAGGAGTATACGCTTCACGTTGATTAGCCGACTGGTAACCCTCGTCTTTCCAGCCGGTCTGGCCTGACAAAGGAGTGCGATTACTCTGCGCATAGCCTGCCTGCTCGTAATGTGGCTCACCTGCATAAGGGTGATCGTAGTCACTTTCTACGGAGGGCTGGCGCTGATCGTCAAACGACGCTGGGCTCTGCTGATCGTGCCTTTGATGAGCAGCGAAAGCAGGGCCCTTATTGAACGAGGTGGGAGTACGTTCTCGCTCTTCTTGTCGACCAAGTAGGTTGTCGGTACGGTCGTGATAACCGTCTCCTGGACCTTGGATGATGGAGGGGTTGGTAGTCACATCGGATTCGTCATCCATCCCATATCCGATCTCAGGCATCATGTTATCATCGCCTACTGGGTAAGCACTGTGATGCATGTGAGGTGCTTCATCGATGGACTCGGCGTCCTCAGATTGAGCAACACTCTGCCTGGGTGAATCCTCGCGGGCGATACTATGCCTCGGGGAGGTTTCAGCCTGTCGTCCTTGAACCAGTGCCTCGGCCTTGTCGCGGATGGCGGCCCATCTCTCGCCTGCCGGTACTTGGTCAGTCTGTACATAAGCCGGATTAGTGCTGACTTGTGACAGCATGCTCTTCTTCAGCGGGCTCGACGCCATTGATGACCGGACGCTGATGGTGGATGGGTCGTGCAGAGAGGCAACGGCTGATTCCACTGCAAGTGGCGTGTGAACATATTCGGGATTAGAACCAATCTTGCGAATGGTTTGCAGATCCGGTTTCACTTCACGATCGAGATACTGGTCGGTACTATCATCAGTGTACTGAGTCAGGCGGTTGTAGTTGACTGATGCCATAGAGCTATCCTCAAGCTCTCGGCGGTACATCTCGTTCTTCTCGTGGTTGCGTTCAAAGAACTCGTCAGTGTCCCTGGGAGAGCTCGATTCGTTGAGTATCGATTTCTTACTCTCAAGAGTAACGCCCTGGGGTCGCTTGCGAGTCCGCGCGGCCTTTGTACTGGCTGTGGAATCCATGGATGCGATTGAAAGATTAGACGCTCGTCGCTCGAATTGATGGCCAAGTGAAGACACAGAAGGACCACTTCGAATGGAGTGGAAGCGCCGAGGCGAGGCGCTGTTCGGAGCATCTTCTTGATAGCTGGCCTCGCTCTGGATCGGGCTGACACCGCGTTTTGATTGCGTTTCGCTCTCAATCTCGTATTGTGATGCTTGAGGCTCAGAACGCTCAATTGCGCGGACTTTTGCTGCAGCTGCAGCAGACAAGCTGGCATCAGTGGTATCTTTTGGGCGAGACTTGTAGCTGCGGTCGCTCTTCGGAGTTTCGGTTCGTACATCGTGGCTGGACCGATTGCTTTGGGAAGTGCCGAGCGTTTGTTGAAGCGCATTCGGTGTGCGAGTGGGCGTGCGCGGGGAAGGCGAAACGTAGCCCCGAGGCACTTGTTGAATAGGTGTCTCAGCGCCTGTTCCCGTTATACCGGTACTTACAGACGACCTTGATGGCGGTCTCTCTTTCGTCTCGGTTTCGGCGGATAGGATCGAATCGCGGGTGAGCTCAGATCCTCCGATCAGCTCGCTGTGATTAAAGGGTAGCGGTGGGACGCGCTCTTTGACGCGGGTCTCCTCACGCACGCTTTCTGCAACACTTTCCGAGATACTCCTACTGCTGCGGGAAGAGCGATGCTTGCGATGTTTGCGCTCCTCTTCCTTCTCTTCGCGCTTCTCTTCGCGTGATGTGTGGTGTTTGAGGGCAGCAGTGGTGAGCCCGGATTTGGCAAGTCCAATAAGGGCTGCGTCTCGCTGAGACATACTGTCCTTGCTCTTTCGCTTGTGGAATCTCTCTTTCTCCTCACGGGTGGTGGAGTCTGCGTAGCTTGAGATGGAACCCCGGCTTGACCGTCGCTCTCCTTTGCGGCTGGACCCGGGAGAAAGGACAGTTCCGGGATCATCACCCTCTCGGTTGAGAACAACCTTGGGCTTGTTGCCGTGGAGTTTGGGTGCGCTTGAGGATTTGGAGACGCGCCGTCTAGATGGGTCTCGAGAGCTTGTGGTGGATTCCTGGCCGTCATATGTGGCGATGCTGTCGCGATTGGCGCGGTCAAGTTTGCTCAGGTTCCTTGAAGTGCGGTTCTCTTCTTTTAGTGCGTTAAGCTCGGGAAGAATGAGGCGCTTGATCGCATCCTCAACTGTAGCAAGTAGTTTTGGGTTGTTAATAGAGGAAGTGCCCGAAATTCCAGAACGACGGTCAGCGCCGCCTGAAGACAGGATACTGGAGTCTGTGCCACTGACACCACTCACTTGCTCGACATCCTTGCTTCTCCTTCGATGCGACTTGCGCGGGGAAGAAAGAGTGTCGTCCCTGATCCTGGAAGTTTCCCTGGACTTTGAAGCTCTGGCCTTGTGAGTGGCGCCTTCTGCAGCCTGCTGTTGTAATTTCTCCATGACGCGCTGTGTGATGCGGTCTTTGCTGAGACTTCTGCTTCTTTGGTGTTTGGGTGCTTTCAGGGTGTCTTGAATGGCCTCAGAGACCATGGAGTCGGTGACTTCGTCCCTTTCCAAGCTCCTGCTCCTGCGGCGCGCAGGGGGGATAATTTCTGTTGCGCCCGTCATACTGTCAGCTGGCATAGAAGACACGTCTGAGGGCATAGGAACAAATCGGCCTCCCAGTGTAGAGACGTCGCTGAGGTTGGGAAGTACCTCAATGTCGACTGGAGGGAGTGAAGAGATGTCGGAGCCGCCTAGCCAGTCGATGGCTGGATTTCGGATGAATTCGTCGCGCGGCCTTTGACCAATGGGGATGCGTCGAGTATAGGCGGCCTTGCGGGGTTGGCGGGTCGCCTGGGTTATGTGGATGTGATCGTTTGCGGCGTTGTTTTGGGCCTTGCGAGAGGATGGAGTGACCCTTACGCGCACACTGGGACGGACTGTGCCCTCTATTTCGTCTTCTGCTTCGAAGTACTCGATGAGCAGAGAAGTCTGCGAGGGGAACTTTTTGTGGAGCCTGCCGCCGCCGTGGGGCTTGGTGGGCGTGGTAGTGTTGATAGTAATGGGGGTGCCGTCTTCGGGGACGGAGTAAGAGGTTCTGTCAGTGCGGTTGGAGACGTTTGTATCAACGTCGTCTATGGTGGGACTGGAGTCGTCTGCGGAATCGAGAGTCGAAGGTTCAGTAGGTGCCGGAAGAGGAGGTCTGTTGATGTCTAAAACCATCGTAGAATCAAAAGATTCTCAGAAGGCGGGGTTGGTGAGCGACGACATGCCCGGCACTATTTTCCTCGTGGATCCGTGGGAGAGGGTAAAGGGACGGATTAGGGAGCGAATGCAGAACGGTTGCGTGGCTGTTTCTCGTCTGCGCAACCAGGACTTGTGGTGCTACTGGGGCGACAGGGCGCGCACGCTCGAGCGCCAACAATCAACGTGGGCGGGGATTTGCAGTTGCAGTTGCAGACGCCTGGACTGGGGCAAACAGCAAACGGGTGGACGGTGCGAGGCAGCTCTGCAGCGTGCGACGCTCCGCGACAATGGCGAGCGAGCTCAGCGCTGGAGCTGGGCGCCGGCGAGCACAGTAGTACTCTCACAGTAGGAGGCTGCGGCGCAAATGTTAGCAGCCGACGCAGGACAGACCGACCCACCCAGGGCAACACAGTGCAGCACAGTAACGTACCGGCGCCAGAAAGAGTAGACCGCAGGCAGCGAATGTGCTGCGGGTGACAATGCCTCGACAAGCTCCCTCGAGCTGGAGCTGGATTTGGTGGAGAGGCTGGCGTGGAAACACACACAGTCCAGCCGTAGTGGAGAGAAAGCTGGGTCGAGGCTAGGGAACAGCAAATGGATCCTTGTCGGCGGCCTGGCGCTAACCGTGAGGCTGATTGGGGCCTGAGGAGCTCAAAGCGATCGGAGATGTCAATAACACTTGGATCCCAGCATTAGCACAGTGCATAACTTTGGTTACTTTCGGCGCCCGTCGACTACCAAATGCTGCTACAGCCAGGCCAGTTGTCGTGACAGCTCGCTTCCTTGATGACCTGTGTGTGCCATGCCACATGCCCAGCCACCTTTAACGCGCAACACCACGACGACGACCGCAGTTCGTGGATGCCGTTGACTATGCACGCCGTGCATCTACTGGTCCGTAGGCGCATGCTCTCGACCAAACTCTGTGCCTGTCCGCGAATGCTAGAGTGTCGACACCCGGGAAAAGCAACTGCGCCGCCCAATGCTATTCTTACCCCTCCCCTCCCATGCCCATGAATCCCAAACGCCAGATGCCCGACGCCCTAATCTCTACTCTGCCTCGTTCCCCGTCACAATCACATTGCAATGCGCGCCTGCACTCACCGCCAGACGCTCCCTATCCAAGTCGTCATGAGACGGCCTCTAGCTGGTTTCTTAGCACCCGTCTCCGTTACCAGGGTGATTGTGCCGAGCCCGCCGTGCGCGGGACGCATCCGTTCCACGCCTAAGAGACGTCATTGGTCTGTTCGGCTAAGAGACATGCCAGCGCATCGCAAAATGACATCGAGTAATATGGGAGAAGTGCCAAATGCGACTATCTTGGTGTGAAGTTGTTCCGCAACCATGCACCGCCTGATGAACTGGCAGTTTGCGACTCAAAGGCATTCTCCCACTACTGCAGCCTTAGTGGTTGGCACAAAAGAAACACTAATCTTCACCGGTTTAGTGGCGTGCTGACTTTTTCGCTACCGCTGTACCACGCTTGCCCTGGCTTCTTTTCCCACATGTGCACATTCCCCTTGAACCCATCGTGTCGTGACACTGTCACCACCAACAAGACTCACAAGTGAAACGACGACTTGATGTTCGATTATATCATGTACATGGAAATATGTCGGCCCACATGCCATTTTGCACGCCAAACTCCTAACAATGCACTTCCGATGGGGGCTTCAGCTAGGCTCAAAACCTCTTGCCTGGCTTCATGGGCCGCCGTCCCTGCTGCGGTTGGCTTCCATATGCTCTCCGGCCCTCTACCTTCTTGTCGCGACTCAACCCCGCTCCTAGAGTGATGTCGATCCTTGGCGGCGTTGAGAAGCCAAAGCTCTTCGCAACTTTTACTAGGTCAAGCTTGTTCACGTCAAAGACCGAACGCAGGCTGTGGCTAGCATAACTCTGGAGATATGATCGGTACCCATCTTTGGCGCTCTTGTTGAGGTAGTAGTTCTTCGAGATGAGCGCTTCTAGTTGAGATTGAATATCTGTATTGGTGGTTAGGGATGATATGATGTGATGATCAAGTACTAGTAAACTTACTCAGAATCTTGTTTGCTGGCAGCTCAAACTCAACAAGCGGCACACGCGATTCCTTCAGCAGTTTCAGGAAGCCAACCTCTGACGGTAGAAGGAACATCAAACTTCGTCCTTTACCGTTGGCGCCTCTTGCAGTTCGTCCCACTCGGTGAATATAATCCCTTGGGTCGTCTGGCGGGTCAAACTGAATTACCCAATCCACCTCGGGGATATCCAAACCCCGAGCAGCGACGTCTGTGCAAATGAGCGTGCCACTCTGAGCATTCACAAACTCAAAGAAGCGGTTCGTCCGCGCCTGTTGCTTGAGCTTGCCATGCAGTCCCAAAACAGGCAGGTCGATGTAATTGAGCAATTCGCTGTAAAAGTCCACAGATGCGCATGACGACAAGAAGACAATGACCTTCTTCTTTTGGTGTTTCTTCAGGAAACTGAAGAGGAGTCTGAATCTGGTGTCCGAGTCGCACAAGACGTAGCCCTGCTCCAATCCTTGCACAGTGCTGTGCTCGGCTCGGTGGTCGACGTTGATGTAAAGAGGACCGGCCTTGAGCGAGATTCTCGCGAGATCCTCAACCTTTGTCGTCTGTGTGGCAGAAAACAGCATCGTTTGACGCTCGGTGGGCAAGATCTTGATGATCGACCTCATTTCATCTTCGAATCCAACCTCGAGGATACGGTCTGCTTCGTCGATAACGAGAGATCTCAGGTTCTTAAAGACGAATCCCTGCGTGTTGTGCAAGTGATCCAACAGCCTACCAGGTGTGGCAATGAGTAGGTTCACTCCCTTTCTCAATTTATCGGCTTCGGCGCTTCGATTGGCTCCTCCGATGCAGATACCAAATGTTTGTGAGTGGTGCTCCATGAGCTCGCGCGCAACTCCGAAGACTGTAGATGGAATCAGCTACTACTCCTTGTGACCTAGGCTAGACTAAGGCCGGACTCACTCTGCAGGGCCAGCTCCCTTGTAGGCGACACAACGATGACACCTGTACCATTGCGCGGTTTGAAGCGCAGTTGTGACAGCATTTCTATGGCAGGAATGAGAAAGGCCAGCGTTTTTCCGCTGCCAGTCTTGGCCGCACCGAGCACATCCCTACCAGCAAGAAGAGGCGGGATAGCTTTCTGTTGGATCTCCGTCATAGTCTTGAATCCCATGCCGTCAATGGCCTGCCTTGTCCGCTCAGAGAGGTTAAGCTCTGCGAATTCCGTCGGGTTCGCCATGGGCATGGTCGTTCCGGAGGTGAGGTCGGAGCTGCCAGCGGCACCAGATGGTTGAGCTAGCGCATCATCGTTGTCGCCGTCATCGTCTTGCGCTTCCACATCCTCATCCTCGTCGTCCTTGTCCTCGTTCTCCTCAGCAACGTCTACCTCTGCAGATTTCTCCTCAGCCTCCTCGTCGCTATCTTCCTCTTCAGTATCGTTTTCAACAATAGGCTCCTCCACAACGGCTTCGGCCTCTCTTTCCTTGCGAGCCTTCTTGCGCGCCTTCTCTACGCCATTATGCGCCGGCACAGCTACTTCTGCGACCTTTTTGCTCTTGTGAGACCTCTTTCTCTTGTTGCTCGAATCGACTGCGGTGGGCGACATTGTGTGGATTGTGCGTCGTTCGATTGTCGCTATGGATGGCGCAAAGTTCGAGTTGGTGTCAAAAGTTCTGGAGATGGAGAAATAATTATCGCGCTAGAGGACCCTGGTCCGGCGCACGGACTTGACATCAGACTTCAAGCTACTACACTACCCTACCCACTCGTCATATTCATTCATATACTACTTCAATAAAGATTTCCAACCCTACTCATATTGTGAGCCATGCCCACGAGAGTATTTTGTGCAGGTAACGAAGAGCCATACAGCTTAACCTGATGCTTAGATAGCATAGTCTAATGGTACATCAGTCTGAGCATTACTGTTGCCGCTCATAGATTGCCGGGACTTTGTATCGCAACGCGACTCAGGTACATGGAAGAATAAACATAGTTGTATACCATAAGAATTACTCGGGGGCTGATTTTGCCTGAACTGTTTCCGCAATACACTCTAGCTAACGAAAACACGTCTTGTATCCAATACTATGCCGTCGAAACCCAATCATCGCATGCGACCATCAAGACCCTGAAGATCTCGCTCTAGATCGCTACCGTTCCACCCACCCTGATTGAAGGCTTCTTGTGGCCTTGGGTCTTCGTAGCCAGCGCGGTCGTAGTTGTTGGGTATCGGGACCTGTGGCGCCTGGTTTGCACCGGCGCCTGCACCGGGCTGTACGCGAACCATTTGGCGGAACCGACTGACTTCATCTAGAATCATCTTCTTCATTTCAGGAATCTCCTCGACAACTTCAAACTGGAAGTCAAAAGTCGTTGGGCACGATGGCTCGTCTGAGGCGTCGTGCCAGATTTGCAGGTACCGGTGCTCCAAGGCTTCCTCGACTGAGATACGGCTTGAGGGATCGAAGGCGAGCATGCGATCTAGCAAGTCGAGCGCATCAGGGTTGGCGTTTCTGAAGAGCGATTGGAATGAAATCTTCTGCATGTATGGCAGATTGCGCACGTAATCTTGTGCACGGGGCGAGCCGATGCGGGAAAGTGTCTCCTCATTTGGTGTTCCCAGGTAGTGTAGGATCTGGTTCAATTGATCGACGTAATCGCGACCCTTGAAGAAGGGCTTGCCTCCCAACAGTTCAGCTAGGATGCAGCCTACGGACCATACATCGACTATCACGGGTTAGCTTGCATCCTCGGGATATAGGCTAATTACATACTAGCTTTTGTGTAGCTCTGGAAGCTCAACATGATCTCAGGAGCTCTGTACCATCGAGTAGCAACATACTCTGTCATGTACCCCGCATTCTCTTCGGGATCCATGGAGAAACCTCTAGCCAGACCAAAATCGCAAATCTTGAGCTCGCAGTCGGCATTGACGAGTAGGTTGCCAGGCTTGAGATCTCGGTGGAGGACGTTTGCGGAGTGAATGTACTTGAGACCGCATAGAATTTGGTAGATGAATGATTGGAAATGGGCATCGGTCAAGGGCTGGCCAGATCGGATGATGGCTGCCAGATCACATTCCATGAGTTCTGCACCATCGTCAGCATGGTGTTATTGGATATGGCATGAACGGGGCCATACCCTCGTAAAGGTAGCATTCATTGAAGTTGTCTGGACGAGGAATGTCCATGTCGTAGAGGCATGTTATCTGTGCGACGGATTTAGCATCGTGTGGAGCGGGTGGATCGCCTTCAGTGCTTGGTCAGGGTTGTCCTTACGTTTCGGTGTCCTGTGATGCATTAGTATCAGGAGTAGTCGCGGGGTGTAATCGACCGACCTCTGAAGTGCTGGAGCAGCTTGATTTCGCGCAGGGCACGCTTCGCAAGAATCTTCTTACTGAAGACATTCGTGACCTTCTTGATGGCCACGCCTTCGCCTGTCTGGTTGTTCGTGGCCGCACTAAAGGGCACAATCAGCATATGGCATGCATGTTACCATGGTCCGAGGCGTACCATACGATGCCGTAGGCACCCTGTCCGAGCTCCTTGGTCACATTATAGC